TTGAAGACACTGTTTTTGTTTTTGTTTTGTTTTGTTTTTAAGATTTGATTTATTTATTTGACAGACAGAGATCACAAGTAGGCAGAGAGGCAGGCAGAGAGAGGGGGAGAAACAGGCTCCCTGCTGAGCAGAGAGCCTGATGTGGGCCTTGATCCCAGGAACCTGAGATCATGACCTGAGTGGAAGGCAGAGGCTTAACCCACTGGGCCACCCAGGCGCCCCGAAGAGACTGTCTTTTTTCCATCAGATATTCTTTCCTGCTTTGTCGAAGATTAGTTGACCATAGAGTTGAGGGTCCATTTCTGGATTCTTTATTCTGTTCCATTGATCTATGTGTGTGTTTTTGTGCCAGTACCACACTGTCTTGATGGTGACAGCTTTGTAATAGAGCTTGAAGTCCGAAACTGTGATGCCACCAGCTTTGGTTTTCTTTTGCAACATTCCTGTGGCTATTCAGGGTCTTTTCTGGTTCCATATAAATTTTAGGATTATTTGTTCTAGTTCTGTGAAAAAAGTTGGTGGTATTTTGATCGGGGATTGTATTAAATGTGTAGGTTGCTTTAGGTAGCATAGACATTTTCACAATATTTGTTCTTCCAATCCATAAGCATGGAACTTTTTCCATTTCTTTGTGTCTTCCTCAATTTCTTTCATGAGTACTCTATAGTTTTCTGCGTACAGATTCTTTGCCTCTTTGGTTAGGTTTATTCCTAGGTATCTTACGGTTTTGGGTGCAACTGTAAATGGGATTGACTCCTTAATTTCTCTTCTGTCTTGTTATTGGTGTATAGAAATGCAACTGATTTCGGTGCATTGATTTTATATCCTGACACTTTACTGAATTTCTGTATGAGTTCTGGCAGTTTTGGGTGGAGTCTTTTCGGTTTTCCACGTAAAATGTCATATCATTTGCAAAGAGTGGGAGTTTGACTTCTTTGCCGATTCGGATGCCTTTAATTCTTTCTATCGTCTCACTCCTGAGGCTAGGACTTCTAGTACTATGTTGAACAGTAGTGGTGGTAGTGGACAGCCCTGCCGCGTTCCTGACCTTAGAGGAAAAGCTCTCAGTTTTTCCCCAGATTGCTGAAGTTTTTTAATATAACTTGACTATAACTGGAATTGTGATACCCCAGTTTTGTTTTTCTTTTTCAAGACTGCTTTGGCTCTTCAGGGTCTTTTGTGGTTCCATACGAATTTTAGAATTGTTTTTTCTAGTTCTGTGAAAAATGCTGGTGGTATTTTGACAGGGATTGCATTGAATGTGTAGATTGCTTTTGGTAATGTGGGTATTTTAACAGTATTTCTTCTTCCAGTCCATAAGCATGGAATATCTTTCCATTTCTTTGTGTCATCTTCAGTTTCTTTCCTCTGTGTTTTATAATTTTCAGAGTACAGGTCTTTCCCCTCTTTGGTTAAGTTTATTCTTAGATATTTTATTGTTTTTGGTGGGATTTTAAATGGGATTTTTAAATGGGATTGTTTAATTTTCTTTCTGCTGCTTCATAATTAGTGCATAGGAATGCAACAGATTTCTGAACATTGATTTTGTATCCTGAGGCTTTACTGAATTCCTTTATCAGTTTTAGTAATTTTTTGGTACAATCTTTAGGGTTTTCTATATATGGTATCATGTTGTCTGCAAATAGTGAGAGTTTTACTTTTTCCTTATCAGTTTGGATGCCCTTTATTTCTTTATGTTGTCTAATTGCTGAGGCTAGGACTTGTAGTACTATGTTGAAAAAAGTAGTGAGAATGGACATCCTTATTTTATTCCTGACCCTAGGGGGAAAACTCTCAGTTTTTCACCGTTGACTATGATGTTGGCTGTGGGCTTTTTCATAGATGGCCTTTATTATGTTGACATATATTCCTTCTGGACCTACTTTGCAGAAGGTTTTTTTTTTTTTTTTTATCACGAATGGATGTTACACTTTGTCAAATGCTTTTTCTGCATTTATTGAATAAGCCTGTGGTTTTATCCTTACTGTTATTTTTTTTTTTTAAGATTTTATTTGCTTATTTGTCAGAGAGAAAGAGAGCACGCAAGCAGAAGCAAGGAGAGAGGCAGGCAGAGGGAGAAGCAGGATCCCAGGACCCTAGGATTATGAGCTGAGCCGAAGGCAGTTGCTTAACCAACAGAGCCACTCAGGTGTCCCTATCCTTTCTATTATTGATATGATGTATGACATTGATTGTTTTGCAAATATTAGAGTACACTGGGATCGTGGAATAAATCGCACTTGATAGTGGTATGATTTTTAAAATTTTATCATTGGATTCAATTGACTAGTCTTTTGTTGAGGATTTTTTCATCTATATTCATGAGAGATATTGGCCTTTAGTTCTCTTTTTTGGGGGTGTCTTTATCTGGTTTTGGTATCAGGGTGATACTGGCTTTAAAGCTTGAATTTGGAAGTTTTCTTTCCTCTTTTTTTTTTTTTTTTTTTTTAATGGTTTTGAAGGGTGGGGTTTTAATTTTTTTTTTCCTTTTTTTTTTTTTTTTTTTTTTGAATGGTTTGAGAAGAGTGGGTATTAACTTTTTTCTGAAGATTTCTTTATTCATTTTAGAGAGAGAATGAGAGCAAGGGAGAGAGGGAGACAAGCAGACTCTGTTGAGTGGGGAGCCTGATACCCTAAGATCATGACCTGAGCTGAAATTAAGAGCCGAATGCTTAACCAACTGAGCCACCCAGGTGCCCTGAGAAGAATGGGTATTAACTCTTGAAATGTTTGGTAGAATTCTTCTGTGAAATCGTTTAGTCCTGCATTTTTGTTTTTTGTGAGTTTTTGGATTACTGATTCAATTTCACTGCTAGTGATTGGTCTGTTCAAATTTTCTATTTCTTCCTGTTTTGGTTTTGGTAGGTTATATGTTTCTAGGAATTTTCCATTCCTCCTAAGTTTTCCAGTTTGTTGTCATACAGGTTTTCATAGTATTCTGTTATGTTTGTTTGTCTATCTGTGGTGTTGGTTCTTATTTCTCCCCTTCCATTAGAAATTTTATTTGGGTCTCTGTCTCTAGATGTTTTTCTAGGCATTTTAGAAATACACATGTATTTTTTTTTCTTGTTGTTTTGTTTGTTTAATGAATTATACCTGTGATTCTATAACTTTATTTTTGCATTTGACAATATAAAATATTCCATTACTTCCTGTATAGGTCATAGAATTTCATCTAATTTTTTGGACTATATAATATTCCATAGTTTGAATGGACCATAGTTCCTCCATTCCAGTATTAATGGACATTTATTTAGGTTGTTTCTGATTTTTACTATCATAAAAAAGTTGCAGTGTATATCTTTGTATATTTAACTTTGCACCATGTGTTAGTATTTATATAAAACAGATTCCAAGAAGTGGATTTTTTGAGTTAAAGTGAATGCACATTTAAAATGTAGATAGAGACGGACAAATCAGCTTCCAAAAAGGCTATAAGTCCTACCACCAATATATGAAAGCCATTTGTTTGTATCCTTGTCACTTATTGGATATTATAAATCCAAAATATTTTTTTGGTCATCTGATAGGTGAAAAATTATACTTTGTTGTTTGAAGTTACATTTCTTGGTATATTGGTGAAATTGTTAAGCATTTTTTTATTTCCCAGGCTTTTAAGGACTCCAATTCTTGATCCATCATCTGCTGTTTGATTTTAATAATTCTGTTTTTTTTTTCTCCAATAAATAATTTGTTGAGCATTTGTAGTGTGTGTAGGGTACCATGCTAGGCATGGTGGCAGAATAATAATCTCTTATTTTTTCAATATGGTGCTTATTTACTAATATTCACTTTCCTACTTCTCAGAACCTTGGATTTACTGACTTGTACCAGGCATACATTCTCTATAAACACTTGTGTGTACTATAAATAATATAATAGCTAATAATGGCTGTTGAGATATAAAACTTTACAAGTTCTCTCTATTGAAACAGTCTATCTCAGGAATGTAAGTATAATATTGAAGTGTGATATTTAGATTACTGAAATACATATTGAAACTTTATTATAAATATTACTTGAAATTCAGCATTCTGATAAGTCTTTTCAATTATTGTGCTTTGTTATCTGTTGAAGTGGGGAATGAATGAGCTATTTCAAATCAGCCTTACATTCTGGCTAATCTACAAAACATGTATTGCACTGTAATTTATACATAATGCTGTTGGCTAGTTCTTGGAAACTCTCAAAAAGGTATCTTTAGGGTTGCCTGGGTGGCTCAGTGGGTTAAGTGACCAACTCTTGATTTCTGCTCAGATCATGATCTCAGGGTCCTGGGATCCTGTTGGAGCCACACTCAGGGAGTCTCTCCCCACTTGCACATACACACACATTCTCTCAGAAATAAATAATTTTTTTTGGTATAATTCCATTTTATTTATTCTTTTTTATGACATGTTAGTCACCATACAGTAGTACATCATTAGTTTTTGATGTAGTGTTCTATGATTCAGTGTTTGCGTATGACACACAGTGTCTCTAAAATAAATAAAATAAATCTTAAAAAAAAAAGGGAAACAATCTTCAATCTTCATTTTTTCCTTTGTATTAGAAAAACCTATAGCTTCCTTTACTTGCCACATGATGGCAGTCTTGCATCTTAAATTAGGCGAAAGGCAGTCCAAGTTAATAGAGGTTCAGATTTTCAGGATGCTGCCCAAGATCTAAACATTGGTAATTTTCAACCTGGAAGCTGTTTTTAAGGTTCATTTGAAAGCCAGCTTTTTGTAGCTTAGAATGTGTTTCCCATGGAACGATGCTACAAATGGTGGGTAGGTTTCTAAATTGGCTTAACATATTTAACCTTAAGTCTCAATTTATTCTTCTGCTTATTTAAAATTTTTAAAACTGTTTAAAAAATTGGGGAAACTTTTACACATGAAATTTGAAGTTATGGTTTTAAAAATTTATAATATAGTTATATAAAAATATGTTGTAAATGTAGGGTTTTAGCCTTTCTTATATTTTAATTTTCACATGTCCTTTCTTTAAATTTTTAGCTTCAGTTGTGGAAGGACAAAAGGGTATCATTCCTCGAGCTATCCAAGAAATATTTCAAAACATCTCTGAAAACCCTAGCATTGATTTTAGTATTAAAGTGTCTTATATCGAAGTATATAAGGAAGACCTAAGAGATCTTCTAGAATTGGAAACATCTATGAAGGATCTTCACATCCGAGAAGATGAAAAAGGAAACACAGGTAAAGTAGCCTACTTAACTGATAGCCTTCATTAGCAAATAGATGTGATTTAATTGAGTTTCAGGATGTATTCCAAAGAATCTTTAAAACAGACATTGAAGCAAAATGCATTTGCTTTTACTTTAAAATTGGGTAACTTTTTGATTACCAATATCCATTAAATCACCCAGGTGAAACGTAGTTCAGACAGGTTGGTAAGATTAAGTTAATAAGTTGTAATTCAAGGTACTTATTTTCTATAATTGCCCCTGCTCTGAGTTGATCTCCAGCAAGACTTCAAAATAGGCTAAATTAGTTTTCGTGCTTTTTTTTTTTTTCCTCCCAGAGTTTTCCCCAGAGTGGGGATGGCTTCTTCCTTTGGTGTTTGTCCAAGTTGTTCCAGAATTCTCCTTTCTTCCTCTTTGATTTTGTCCCACCACATCTGTTGCCTCCTCCCTCTTTCTCTCTCTCTTTCTCAAATTTGCACCATTTACGTGTTTTCTTCCTCATATCGACACTGTCCATCGTTGTGCTTCTTGTGGTCTGAATTTCTATGCTAACAACCTGTTAATTTCATTAAATATCCATTTGTTTGGAAATAGGAGAAGGTTAGTTGGGTCAAAGTATAAGTATTTTAAAGAATAACACTTTCTGCTTTTCTGATTTAAAGGGTAATATGTTCAGCATAGAACACTTTGAAAACATAGGAAAGTTTAAGGAAGAAAGTTGAAGATCATCTTTAATCCCAGAACCCAGAAAGAACAACTTCTGTTTTTGGTGTGTTTCCTTCTAGATTTCTTTTTCTGTGCACATATAAATTTTTTTAAAATGTACTTAGAACCTGACGTGTAACATTGTTCCTTATTTTTTCACTTAATATTTTGTGGGCGTTTTCACACACCGTTAAATATTTTTCAAACTTATGACTCTTCGTGGTCATGTGGTGATTTTGTCTTTGGAATGTATTATGCTTTTTAAAATTAATGCTCCATTCTTGGACATTTAAGCTGTTTCTAGATTTTCACTATTATTAACAACACTGACTTGGGTGTGTTTCTCTCTTAGAAAAGATACTAAGGTAGAACCCTTCTTGGAGATAAAGGATCCCACCTGAGGAGTCACTGACTCCTTGAGGAAATTTCCTAGCAGGAAAGTAATATCATTCAGAGTGCCTTCCAGGGGCAGTGAAGTTTGTCCTCTTAATTGGCCTTGTCTTGGCAGCCCTGGCATTCCTCGATGTTTGGAGAGAATGGTTTAGGTTTTGTTTTTTAGAAAGAAAGCAGACATAGTAGTCTATGGTCTCAGTAGATAATTCAGTATAGTTTCTCTTTTCTGGACACACTTCAAACCAACGTTTTGAGCTCCTGTATCGTATAAAATATAATTATTGAGTGTTTTTCTCTTCTGTTAAGAAGATAACAGAAATGACACATGTTTATTGTAGAAGAGTCAAATAATGCAGAAGTATACACTATCCCTCCTGATAAACTTAATAGCTAATATCAGTTCTGCAAAAGTTTTGGGAAGATGCCACAAATTGTCTTAAGACCGATTGGCATCTGTCTTATGTAATGTTCCATTCACTACCAAAGTGTATTTGTTTGACATATTTATTTACTTCCTGTGTGTGAAGCAATGTTTCGGATCCAGCCTGGGATGCTGCACCATCAGTATCACCGTGGAAGCTTTTTAAGAAATACTGTCTTTTGGGCCCCACTTTTCAGAAATTCTCATGAATTTGTCTGGAATGGGGCCTGAGCCTTGCTACTTTCTCTTTTATAAAACTTCCAGGTGATTCGCAGCTGGGTTTGAGGACCAGAGATAGTGCTAAGCTGTAGCCTAACAGGAAAAATTTATGAAAGTTACCCTTTGCTTTACAGTTACATTGTCATATTTTATAATTGCTGATCTTTTAGCATTCCCCGTTTGTAGTATAGGTACTAGAACTTTAAATGTTCTCAGTTGTTAAGGTGTCATGTTGGAAATAATGAAAGCAAAATGATCATTTTTCAAGAAGACAGTGACATGACCGGATCTGTATAAAGAGGAAACGGGACACTGTAATTCAAGCACAGAATCAGGAGCTTTACTGCTCTGATTCAAATCCCAAATCTGCCTGCTGCTTTTTGAAATATGTTTGAATATAAACAAATAATGTGGGCAGTAAGCTTTGGCTTATTTGTGGCTCCTATTCTGCTGTTCTTGAAATAGAAACTTTTTTTTTTTGAATTGCCATCACATTTGTTTACCTTGTACTCTGCTATTATGTAGGGCATACCTGTTCTTAAGATGACTAACCAATTTTATTTACACTGAAGTTGTCATTTATCATTGGTCATGACCATACAATACCAAAAACCATAAACCTAAAGATGACTTGAATATTAACACAACTCAAAAGACGTGAATTTCTCTTCATTAATATACTACTGATTAATTCTTTTGAGTTTTCTGTTTAATCTGTTTTTTTTTAGTAAGTCTATTAGACTCTACAAGTCAAAATACCGGAATAAAGAGTTTTTCTTTAGTCAGCCATCTTAAAGAATTGAGTGTGACTCCAAAGAAACCAGATTGTTTAAAATATATGTATGTATAACTTCTTTTAGAATGTAAACATCAAAATGAGTGCTGTCTGTTAAAATCGTTCCTTTGGGAGATTATCTAAAATTACTTAATGAATTTGCTGATGTCACTGTTGTTTGAAGTGCTATTGATTTTTTTATTTTTAAGAGCTTTTCTTAGCCTGGGCAGTTCAGCCAATATTAACTGTTGTAATTGGGTTTTGATTAAAATTTGGTTTAAAAACTTGCTGTTGCTGTTTTAAGTGATTGTTGGGGCCAAAGAATGCCAGGTGGAGAGCGCAGATGAGGTGATGAGTCTCCTGGAGATGGGGAATGCAGCCAGGCATACAGGGACCACGCAAATGAACGAGCACTCCAGTAGATCACATGCGATTTTTACAATCAGCATCTGTCAAGTGGAGAAAAATATAGAGGCAGGTGAAGACGGATCGTGGTACTCCCGTCGGCAGATTGTCTCGAAGTTCCACTTTGTGGACTTGGCTGGCTCCGAAAGAGTAACCAAAACAGGGAATACTGGCGAACGGTTCAAAGAATCCATTCAGATCAACAGCGGGTTGCTGGCTTTAGGCAACGTCATCAGCGCTCTCGGGGACCCCCGCAGGAAGAGTTCACATATTCCATATAGGGATGCGAAAATTACCCGGCTTCTGAAAGATTCCCTGGGAGGCAGCGCCAAGACTGTCATGATCACTTGTGTCAGCCCATCCTCCTCAGATTTTGATGAGTCCTTAAATTCCCTCAAATATGCCAACAGAGCCCGCAATATTAGAAACAAGCCCACCTTAAACTTCAGCCCCGAGTCAGACCGCATGGACGAAATGGAGTTTGAAATTAAGTTGCTTCGAGAAGCTTTGCAAAGCCAACAGGCTAGCATCAGCCAAACCAGCCAGATCCATCCAGAGGAGACTTCTGAGAGAAACAGGATCCTTTCTCTGGAGGAGCAAGTGGCCCAGCTGCAAGGCGAATGTCTGTGTTACCAGAACTGCGTGGAGGAGGCCGTTACCTTCCTGGTGGACCTAAAGGAGGCCGTCCGACTGAACCCAAAGCAGCTGCACAAACTGCAGGAGTGGCTGAACATGACTCAGGAGGTCAAGAAGGCGGTGTTCACCTCCTTCAGAGGGAGCCACGGCCTCGGCAGCCTGGGAGAAGGGCCTCAGCATGTTACCGTCCTCCAGCTGAAGCGAGAGCTGAAGAAATGCCAGGTACGTGGTGGATGCCTTTTGTTGGTGGCTTGTTGGACGACTCCTTTTACTGGGGCAAGGATCATTTTGGAACCTCAGAAGTTTTTCGAAAGGATTATGTGTGAAATCTCATTTGCCTTTGCTCAGTTACTTCCCTTTTCCTACCGCTTTGTCCTCTTAATTGACACCTTCTCAGCTCCTTCTCCTTTCTCTTTTAATATCTTCACTTGGTATATTTATGAAGCAGAATCTTGCGGACCTGCTCATTGATTTAGAGGATGAAGAGAAACACAATTTCAGAAAACAAAGTGAAGTTGTACGTTAGTGAGTCTTCATTCCTCTTTGGGTCGGTGGTTCTTGAAGGAAAAAAAATAAACTTCATCCTTTGAGTGTGGAATGCTGGGTTTTTTGAACAAGCAAAGAAATCATCTTATTTGACAGTAAGGGATGTAGGTATACGTATTTATATTATATAAACGTACGTTGAGTTCAGAGTTACGCTTCTCACCTTCTATTCACACACAGTATGGGAAGATTTTATGTCAATGGGGAAATTATGGGAAACAAGATACATCCAGTCCTCCTTACATGGGGGTCTAGTAGACAAATGGATATTCTGCCAGTTTTTGAAAATAGGAAAATGTATAGTTAAAAACATAGCTTTCTAGTTAGAAATCTTTCCTCAAGACCTTTTTATATGTATTAGAAAGAAACCTCTATTACAGCAGCTCTTAAACTTTTTGTTCACAAGATTTTTTTTCTTTTTAAAGATTTTATTTATTTATTTGACAGAGAAAGAGAGAGAGAGAGCACAAGCAGGGGGAGCAGGAGAGGGAGAAGCAGGCTTCCCGTTGACCAGGGAGCCCATTGCGGAACTCGATCCCAGAGCCTGGGATCATGACCTGAGCTGAAAGCAGAGGCTTAACCATCTGAGCCACCCAGGTGCCCTGTTCACAAGATTTCTTTACAATTTTAAAATGAGGTCCTCTAGGGGCGCCTGCGTGGCTCAGTGGGTTAAAGCCTCTGCCTTTGGCTCAGGTCATGATCCCAGGGTCCTGGGATCGAGCTCCGAATCAGGCTCTCTGCTCTGTGGGGACCCTGCTTCCCCCGCCCCCCTGCCTACTTGTGATCTCTTAAAAAAAAAAAGATTTTATTTATTTATTTGACAGACAGAGATCACAAGTAGGCAGAGAGGCAGGCAGAGAGGCAGGCAGAGGGGGGCGGCGGGGGAAGCATGCTTCCTGCTGAGCAGAGAGCCCGATGCAGGGCTTGATCCCAGGACCCTGAGATCATGACCTAAGCTGAAGGCAGCTGCTTAACCAACTGAGCCACCCAGGCATCCCAGTTATAGCTTATTTTATGAAAGAAGTCACATAGGTCCTATACACGTGTGGAGTCATAAGGACTAATAGGGTCATGTGTCCTTTCCTTGTTTGGTCATTTGAGGATCCCAAGCAGAGCAAAGAAGGGCCTTACCCTAAGTTCTACTATGAGGCTGTGGCAAAATCAAGGCAGGCCTCAGGCTGTGGGTTCTCAGTGCAGGGGCCCATCTACCCTGATGCCATTGCTTGAGAAGTCACATACATAGCTTGTTTCTGTGAATGAAATCTTATGTAAAGTGAATACTCATTTTTGCAAATCAGCTACTTTCCTATAGCTTAGAAGAAAGAGCATGGGCTTTGGATTCAGATAGGCCCTGGGCTAGAAGATCAGGAATTTAGTTTATCTACTGTGTCATCTTGGGGAGAGGCCTTAATCTCTTAATTTCTTCATGAAAAAGTAACCCTGTCTATTCAGTGAGATATTTTTAAAATGTCAAGTCATTATCTGGCATAGAATAGACTTGACAAATGTTACGTTTCTTTCTGTTTATTTAATTTAAAAATTGTTTTAAAGTATTATTTGCATATCCAGGTTTATTTGAAAACAGGCACAATTCATTAGAAATTAAGAAAACTCTTTGTTTAACCGTATTTTTAGACCTCTTCAAAATATCTCTTCATAGTGAAAGTGCATAAAATTAGCAGATATGGGGCGCCTGGGTTGCTCAGTGGGTTAAAGCCTCTGCCTTCGGCTCGGGTCATGATCCCAGGGTCCTGGAATCGAGCCCCACATCGGGCTCTCTGCTCAGCGGGGAGCCTGCTTCCTCTTCTCTTTCTCTCTCTCTGACTGCCTCTCTGCCTACTTGTGATCTCTGTCTGTCAAATAAATAAATAAATAAATAAATCTTTTTAAAAATTAGCAGATATTCTTTATTTAAAAATCCAAATGCATTCTTAACTCTATAGGTCAATTTGGAAAATGTGACCTCTTTGATTTTTAAAAGCCCACATTAAAAATCTCATGGCACTTCTAGCAAACTTGTAAAAATCTTAACTGAGTGCACTCTAGAAACTGAGTAACTTTTTGGTTTTAAAAATCAGGAACTAAAACCAGGAAAAATTTTCTATCATTACAGTAATTAATTCTTAGGTTATAGTCATGCTAGGTCCTCGACACTGTTTCTTTCTCCTAACGAGGAGAGAAAAATCTTGAAAGTGAATAGGATAAGAAAATTTCAAGAAACATCGTCAAATTGTCAATAAATCCCCAGTTTCTGTGGTAATTTCTGGGCTCTCCTGAATGTTTTCCATGGTGAATCTCTTGTGCTCTCTTTCCCTCTTCCCAGTGTGCACTGGCTGCCGATGAAGTTGTGTTTCATCAGAGAGAACTGGAGGTGAAGGAACTAAAGAACCAAGTGCAAATGATGGTCCATGAAAACAAAGGCCACATGGTATCTTTGAAAGAAGCGCAGAAAGTGAATAGATTACAGGTAGAGTTTCTTAACGTATTTAGAGCAGTAGATTTAGTTGAACTAGTACTTCACTAAACAGGAGCATTTTATCTATTTATTTAAAAAAATTTTATTTATTTCTTTTCAGCATAACAGAATTCATTGTTTTTTGTTTTTGTTTTTGTTTGACAAAACCTTTATTTATTTTTAAGTGAATAATATGACACAAACATTTTTTGTAGCCACTATATATGAGATACAATATTCAAAGATGATGCAAAGAACCCAGAAAAATAAAATAAATAATCTGTTAAATGGTATTTTCTTTTTTTTAAATTTCTTTTCACCATAACAGAATTCATTGTTTTTGCACCACACCCAGTGCTCCATGCAATACGTGCCCTCCTTAATAACCACCACCTGGCTCCCCCAACCTCCCACCCCCCACCCCTTCAAAACCCTTAGATTGTTTTTCAGAGTCCATAGTCTCTCATGGTTCATCTCCCCTTCCAATTTCCCTCAACTCCCTTCTTCTCTCCATCTCCCTATGTCCTCCATGTTATTCGTTATGCTCCACGAATAAGTGAAACCATATGGTAATTGACTCTCTCTGCTATTTCACTCAGCATAATCTCTTCCAGTCCTGTCCATGTTGCTACAAAAGTTGGGTATTCATCCTTTCTGATGGAGGCATAATACTCCATAGTGTATATGAACCACATCTTCCTTATCCATTCGTCCGTTGAAGGGCATCTTGGTTCTTTCCACAGTTTGGCGACCGTGGCCATTGCTGCTATAAACACTGGGGTACAGATGACCCTTCTTTTCACTACATCTGTATCTTTTTTTTTTTTTTTAAAGATTTTATTTATTTATTTGACAGAGATCACAAGTAGGCAGAGAGGCAGGCAAAGAGAGGAGGAAGCAGGCTCCCTGCTGAGCAGAGAGCCCGATGCAGGACTCGATCCCAGGACCCTGGGATCATGACCTGAGCCGAAGGCAGAGGCTTTAACCCACTGAGCTACCCAGGCGTCCCTACATCTGTATCTTTGGGGTAAATACCCAGTAGTGCAATTGCAGGGTCATAGGGAAGCTCTATTTTTAATTTCTTAAGGAATCTCCACACTGTTCTCCAAAGTGGATGCACCAACTTGCATTCCCACCAACAGTGTAAGAGGGTTCCCCTTTCTCCACATCCTCTCCAACACACGTTATTTCCGGTCTTGCTAATTTTGGCCATTCTGACTGGTGTAAGGTGGTATCTCCATGTGGTTTTAATTTGAATCTCCCTGGTGGCTAGTGATGATGAACAGTTTTTCATGTGTCTGATAGCCATTTGTATGCCTTCATTGGAGAAGTCTCTGTCTCTGTTCATATCTTCTGCCCATTTTTTTATATGATTATCTGTTTTGTGTGTGTTGAGTTTGAGAAGTTCTTTATAGATCCTGGATATCAACCTTTTGTCTGTACTGTCATTTGCAAATATCTTCTCCCATCCCGTCGGTTGCCTCTTTGTTTTATTGACTGTTTCCTTTGCTGTGCAGAAGCTTTTGATCTTGATGAAGTCCCAAAAGTTCATTTTCGCTTTTGTTTCCTTTGCTTTTGGAGACATATCTTGAAAGAAGTTGCTGTGGCTGATATCGAAGAGGTTACTGCCTGTGTTCTCCTCTAGGATTCTGATGGATTCCTGTCTCACATTGAGGTCTTTTATCCATTTCGAGTTTATCTTTGTGTATGGTGTAAAAGAATGGTCGAGTTTCATTCTTCTACATATAGCTGTCCAATTTTCCCAGCACCATTTATTGAAGAGACTTTTTTCCACTGTATATTTTTTCCCGCTTTGTCGAAGATTATTTGACCATAGAGTTGAGGGTCCATATCTGGGCTCTCTACTCTGTAACAGGAGCATTTTAAATGATAAATGGGAGTGTTTACAAAAATAGGTTTCAGTTGCAGTTTCAGGCAACTAAAAGTGTTATTAGAGTTTTTCCCCTACTCTGATTTATCCTTCACAAATAGGAAGATGATATCCAGGAACTTAATTTGCACATTGTATGATGGTTGCATTTTCTTTGTGTCTTTCCATTCTCTTGTTTGCCAAGGTAACAGGCAATGTGATGGTGATAAGAGCTGGAGGGTAGACACAAACTTTAAAATTTATTAGATCATCCCTTCATACTCCCATCAGTGATTTGCTCTTTAACTCTGGTTAAATCTTTCAACTTTTCTGTCTTAGCCTCCTATTTAGGAAACAAAACAAATAAGCATAGGGGAAAAAAGAGTGAGAGAGGCAAACCAAGAAACAGACTATTAATTATAGAGAACAAACTGATGGTTACCAGCGAGGTGGTGGTGGGGGGGGGGGTCGGAGGAAACAGGTGATGGGGATTAAGGTATGCACCTGTTGTGATGAGCTCCGGCTATTGTATGCAGGTGTTGAGTCACTCTATTGTACACCTGAAACTAATATTACCCTGTATGTTAACTAACTGGAATTTAAATAAAAACTTAACAACATAAATCTTAAAAAAAAAAAAAAAAGACATAGTAAACTGTCAGCCCCTCAGAAGTCCTTAGTTCATCCTGCTCAGAGAAAGTCACTTTCCTTACTTCAGAGTAATGCTTTCTCTGCTTTGCTTTGTGGTTTTACTATGTATCCCTGAACACTACAGTTTACATTTTGGAATTTTTATAAATTTAATCCTTCAGTATGTGTATTCTTTAGTATCTAGTTGCTTTTATTGAATATCTTTTTGTTCTGACTCATCCACAATGTAACTATAGCTTGTTATAGTTTATAGCTATACAGGATTTCATTGTATGAATAGATTGCAATTTATATTTCTATTCTACTATTTTTAAAATATTTTATTTTATTTTTTCAGTGTTCCAAGATTCATTGTTTATGAATCACGCTCAGTGTTCCATGCAATACGTACCCTCCTTAATATCCACCACCAATCTCACCCATCCCCCCACCCCCTCCTCTCCAAAACTCTCAGTTTGTTTCTCAGAGTCCACCGTCTCTCACAATCTCCCCTAGGATTTCCCCCAACTCACTTCTCCTCTCTATCTCCCCATTTCTCTGTGTTATTCCTTGTGCTCTACAAGTAAGTGAAACCATATGATAATTGACTCTGCTTGACTCTATTCTACTATTGATGGACTTTTTTGGTGATGGACATTTTCTTCTTTTTTTTTTAAGATTTTATTTATTTATTTGAGAGAGAGTGCATGCATGAGTGGGGGCAGGGGGCTGAGGGAGCAGAGAGAAAATCTTTTTTTTTTTTTTTTTGCCTCATAATGGAGAGAGAGGATCCTAGTCAGACTCCACACTGAGTGCAGAGCCTCACGCAGGGCTGGATCTCACGACCTTGAGATCGTGACCTGAGTCAAAAATCAAGAGTTGGATGCTTAACCAACTGAGCCACCCAGGTGCCCCTGTACATCTATATTTTTACTAATTCTTGGGGTCTTTTTGTTATAGTTCTGACAATTTTTGCATTCTACGTATTGAAGATGTGTTATTAAGTACATAGAAATGCATGATTGTTACATCATCCTGGTGAATTCAACTTTTTAATTTTTTTAAAAGATTTTATTTATTTATTTGACAGAGAGAGAGATCACAAGTAGGCAGAGAGGCAGGCTGAGAGAGAGGGGGAAGGAGGCTCCCTGCTGAGTAGGGAGCCCTATGTGGGGCTCGATCCCAGGACCCTCGGATCATGATCTGAGCCGAAGGCAGAGACTTTAACCCACAGAGCCACCCAGTCCCCTTTTTTAATATTTTTTACCTTTTCTAATGGTTTTTGCCTTAAAATCTACTTGGGTGTTCACATAGCCCTACTAGCTTTCTTTTGATTAATATTACATAATGTGTCTTTCTCCATCTTATTTTTCATCTTTGTGTGTCTATTTTAGTGGTGTTTCTTAGTAAGCAGCAAGTTATATAATTTTATAATCCTCTCTGATGAATTATAATATTTTAATTGGATTACTTAGTTCACTTATGAATTTAATGACTCTTATATTTTGGTTGTAATTCCACCATTGTCCTTTACTTATTCTGCTCTATGTTCTTTTTTTCTCTTTTCTTATCTTCTTTTGGATTCATTGTACATTTTTAATTTTTCTGTTTTTACTTCATGAGCTCAGGTTTTATACTTGTATTCTTTATGGTTTTGGTGGTTTTCCTGGAGCGTATACCATACGCTCTTGATTAAATAAAGTCTAATATAATTGGTATTTTACCCTTTCCCTGAAAATACAAAGATTCCAATATATGCCATTGACATATACTTTAATTATCTGAATACGTTAATTTTTTATAAGGTCGACTTTTTATAGCTTAGCATTAGCACTGTGAAACTTTTGGGTTTTCTCCCCCCATTTGAACATTGTAGTAAATGTGAAGTATTAAGATGAATGACAATTTCTTGTTTACATAACTTTGTGCTGATAAAACAGAGATTGATGTTAGAGCTTGCTGGACTGGATATACCTGAAAAAAAGTTTTTTTAGAAGACACATAGAAAGCTAAGCCACACATGCGTGTGCATGTGCACAAACACACACACACATTCCTGATACACAATTTGTTCAGCTTTTGATTTCCAAGTTCTTTTTTCTCCCAGGACTATCAGTTACCTATCTTTTATCTCTTTGTGCTTGGGCTTTCTTTGGCACTGAGTAAAGGCTTTCACTTAACCCTACCTGTCACCAGCTCGTCTCCTTTGCTGCCATCTTGGCCATTTGCAATTCTTTGTCCACTTGCAACTTTCTTCTCTCTTGTTACCACTTGGATTTCCCTCAGAAAGGCCAACCGTTTATAAAGACCAACAAATCAGAGTGCTTCAGGATGACAAACCAACCAATCACAGTGTGTGGGGCATTTTCTTTGAGTAGTTATCTCTTCAGGCTCTCTGTCCTTGCTTCCTTTTCAAAAGATTTTAGCCTTCAGAACGATCCTGGATGCTGGTGAGTATCGTATCAGAAGACTCACCAGTGGAGAAATGAGAGTTTTTGGTACCGTTAAGGTAGTTGTGGTTTGGGGCAATGTACAATTTATTTTTAACCATTACACACATACAGAGGTTCTCTATTTTAAAAATGTGCATCTCTTTTCTACAAAGAATGAAAAAATAATAGAACAACAACTTCTTGTGGATCAACTGAGTGAGGAACTATCAAAACTTAACCTGTCAATGACCTCTTCAGCTACGGAACCTTGTGGAGACGGGCCAGACATCAGGACAGCCTCGAAGAGGCCGTGCACTGTACCCTTTGATTCTCGTCTGGGACATTACATTTGTATTCCAGCCAGACCAGGTTCCAGGAAGGTAATGACGAGACATTGATCTCTTTCTGATTTTGAGATTTAAAAAATATTCTTTATGATATCACAGTGTATTTGCATGATCTCAGCAGGGTTTTTTTCTGTTTGATTTCGTGGACTTTTATGCATATTCTTTCTTTTTTCATCAGGCTTCTTTTAAATAATAAATTAATAAATAGGAGAATGTATAGTTATATTTGGAAGAAACAGTTGAAGATGATGTCTATATTCACCAAGGAGAAAAAGCTATCCTTTGCCATCATATTTTCAGACACGCTTTAGTCTGATAGCTTCATGAATTTTTTTTTCTTTCTTTAGCCACACCAAGGTTGTGGGAAGATTAGAGGGTATTTATTTTTATTTATTTGGCCTGTTTTATTATTTTCAAAATAACATCTGTTATTCAGACTTGTCAAGCTAACATAATCAAGTCTCTGAGGATTAGTATGAAGTTTCATTTTAATTTTTGTTTATAAATATTTGCGTGGGTGGTAAATACATGCGCACAGATTTTTCTTGAAAAACAAGGAATCTCAGGACGCCTGGGTGGCTCAGTGGGTTAAACACCTGCCTTCAACTCAGGTCATGATCTCAGGGTTGTGGGATCGAGTCCCGCATCCGGCTCCCTGCTCAGCGAGGAGTCTGCCGCTCCCTCTGCCTGCTGTTCCCACTGCCTGTACTCTCTTTCTCTGACAAATAAATAAATAAAATCTTAAAAAAGAAAAAAGGGAAAGAAGAAATCTCTAGTGGAATAGAAATCTCTAATGGAAAAGATTAAGTAGCAGATTCATGAATTTTGGTTTCTATTGATTAGTTTTATGAAGGGAAATGATTTATTTGGGTCTCTGAGGGTTACAGTTAAAGGGATGAGTAGTAGGAGAGGTGTTAGAGGCTGTGCCCTCGGGCGGTCTGAGGTGTGAGCAGCTCTGTGCATAGGTCTGCTGTACATATGCCTAAACCTGTGTGAGCCCCAGGGTCCTTTTCTGTCAGGCTAGGGGAGATGTTAAGGAGGGTGTAGAGGATTTACATGAGATAGCGAATTGGAAACTGGCACACTGCGTCTCTGGCACATGCTCATGGGTTGCATCTCTTGTGTCCCAGGTTCATGCCTCAGAGCGAGCAAGACAGATGCTCCTTTTTTACCTGAGAATACTCACCTATTCTGAGTGATTGGGTTTTAACATTTAAATCAGTTATTATTTTTTAAAAGATTTTATTTATTTATTTGACAGAGACACAGCAAGAGTGGGAACACAGCAGAGGGAGTGGGAAAAAGAGAAGCAGGCTTCCTATAGAGCAGGGAGCCTGATGTGGGACTTGACCCCAAGACGCTGAGATCGTGACCTGAGGCGAAGGCAGTCGCTTAACCGACTGAGCCACCCAGGCACCCTAAGTCACTGTTACTATTTTTTTTTTTTTAAGATTTTATTTATTTATTTGACAGACAGAGATCACAAGTAGGCAGAGAGGCAGGCAGAGAGAGAGAGGTGGAAGCAGGCTCCCCGCTGAGCAGAGAGCCCGACGTGGGGCTCGATCGGGATCATGACCTAAGCTGAAGGCAGAGGCTTTAACCCACTGAGCCACCCAGGCGCCCCAAGTCACTGTTATTTTTAATCTCAGCTTTACTTTGTAGAGTTATTGACATGTTCTTTATGGCTAAATACATGATAAATTTTCGTGGAACATGACAAAGGGCACATTCTTTGCAGGATTCAAATTTGATAACTTAATTCAACTTTAAAATTATATATCTTCTGTAATTAATTAACTATTGGCTAGTAATGGGAAAGAATTTTCCGTTTCTTCTATTCTTTTGTTTTTTAAAAATAACATTTGGGTGTTCTTCCCCCTGATTACAAAAGTCATACATATTTATGCTTTCTCAGTCTTTTTCTTTTTTTACGACATTCATACATACACACGTGCGTGCGCGTGTAGTCTGAGGAGATAGACTTCTGTGGGCTCTTGAAAAAGGTTAGGCCCTTAGGGGTTCTTACCTCTAGCTGTTTGATTAGACTTGAAACAGACATAACTGGAATAACGAGTTCCATGGTTATTGTTTCAGAAGAGCAGAATCCTTAGTTTTGTTTTGTTTTTAAAAATTTTCCTTCTACCTTGAAAGAGCCCTGTTAGCCACTAAAAGGTGGGGAAAGGAAGAAGATACAAAAGTTATAGGATTAGCAGCTTGGGGGATGGGGGTGGTTCTCTTTTTCCTGGTGTGTGTCCAGGAATCCAGGCCATCTCTCTTGTTTGGGCTGGTTGCTGCAGCAGAGTGAGAAGGCAGGCTTGCATGGAAAGACATTGTATGGCCGATCCTGTCCTGCTTACTGTTCCATTGTTCTAAGAGTGAGGCGAGGGTTTCGTACTGTATACCAGGACTAACTGAATTACACTGAAGAGGACATCTGAAATGCCACTTCATTTTCTCCCTGGAGTTTTGCCTCCTTGGCAGAAGTCTAGCTAATATTTTCTAGCTCTGTTAATTTCTTTTAGAGTTCATTAGCTCTGATATTTTCTTGAAGTGCAAATAGTCCTCATATGAGGAAATATTTCTTTTGTTCTGTTCTTTATTGGAAATTTATTTTTTTTTAAGATTTTATTTATTTATTTATTTGACAGAGATCATGAGTAGGCAGAGAGACAGGCAGAGAGAGGAGGGGTGGGGAAGCAGGCTCCCCGCTGAGCAGAGAGCCTGATGCGGGGCTCCATCCCAGGACCCTGAGATCACGACCTGAGCTGAAGGCAGAGGCTTAACCTACTGAGTCGTCCAGATGCCCCAGAAATGTATTTTTTTAAAGGAAATATTTCTTCTGTGCTTATTTACACATATTGGAGGGAAAGAGGGGAAAGTTCTTCTTTAATTTTAAAAGTATTATTTGTTATATTTATGGATGTACTTTAATTACTGGCTTTTCTCAACATATCATGAACATTTGACAGTCATTAAGTATTCTCTTATAACATCATGATTTTTAATAGCTGATAATATTTATCCTAGGAGCATACAGTTGTGTACCTTTTCCTGTCATTACACATTTGTTTTCAATTATTTCATAATCTGAAAATGGAATTATAGGATGTATCTACTTATTCAGAATTCCTAATGAAATCGCACCCCACAACTAAATAGTTTACAGGTAAATAAAAGGAAAAGTTTCCAAATTATTTTTCAAATTAACAGGAAAAAAGAGAAAAAACACCTCTGTCTCAGTAGTACCAAAAACTTATCTATTGAATCTTGATTTAAACTTAAAGAAAAAAGTACAACAGGTTTCTACTTTCTTAATATAGTAAATATGATATATTTGAAGTCAAGAGCCAGTATTATACATATGCAGGGCACTTTGGAAAGAAAAAATTACAGAGGTGGTCCCAGTCAGTGCTTAGGTATAATATAATATCACAAATGCTGATGAAAACCTGGCTCATTTCATTGATCGTAAGACTTACATTTTTTTTCACATTTTATCATCTTTGATGGCAGGGTATGTTTTATAATTGATGGCATGTCATGGTTTGACAGCTTTTTTTCCTTCTCAATAGAATAAAAATAATGGTGTGTCTTACAATTGATAGCATTTCCGATTTGATAAAATATGATATAAAATAGAAATAAAAGCAATGGGTAAACTAATACACTTAAAAAATTTTTTTTTATTTGTCAGAGAAAGAGATCACAAGCAGGAGGAGCAGTGGGTAGAGGGAATAGCTCCCCACTGAGCAGGGAGACCAGTGAGGGACTCAATCCCAGGATCCTGGGATCGTGACCTGAGCTGAAGGCAGAGGCTTAACCGACTGAGCCACCCAGGCTTCCCTAATATCACTTTCAGTACTTCACATAATTGTATGCTAAGAAAACCAACCAAAGTATTCTTTTTTAAAGATTTTATTTATTTGACAGAGAGAGAGTAAGCACAAGCAGGGGGAGTGGTGGGCAAAGGGAGAGGGAGAAGCAGGCTCCTTGTAGAGGAAGGAGTCGGTGTGGAACTCTTTGATCCCAGGACCCTGGGATCATGACCTGAGCCACAGGCAGATGCTTAACCCACTGAGCCACCCAGGCACCCCAACCAAAGTATTCTTGAGGTATATATTTTAAAAATCTTCTGCAATCTCCAACTTCACAAAAGTGGAAATATCTGTAAAATCTTGCTTTTTTCTGAATGAATTACATTCTTGTGTCACAAAGTTTCTGTGCATAACCCCACACTACATGTTAACAGTTTCACTAAGATTTTATCTCACAGGAAGGCTTGCGATATTTAGTTTTTGTTTTGCTTTCCTTTTTAATTCTTTGCATACATAGTGGCTCAGGGTGAAGAATGAACACAGCAGAACACAGAGAAGATGTGTCTGCCTAGCTTAGACCAGGTTCCTTTGCTGTGCAGCTCGTTCCAGCAGTATACATCAGCGTCACAGTAGCAAAGTGACAAATTATATCTCATAAACCTTTGTGGAACTGTTGATTGAAATTTTGTACAAAATTTGTACAGTGTATGGTGAATGACTTGAGCAACGTTGTAGCGTATCTGATGAATCCAAATCAAATGCATCACTAGTAGGAGATTATCTTTCTGTATGATGATGTGAAACATCAAGTTCAGGTCTGGGTACAACATTTTAAGTCAAATTAGATTATTTTCAGAAAACCAGGTTGCTTAAGGACCTTGGTGAACATCCGAAGTAACTCTGGACTTACTCTGATTCAGAGGGGACATGATGCCTGTTTTCAAATATTTGAAGGTTTTGGGTGCTGGGGTGGCTCAGTCAGTTAAGCATCTGCCTTCGGCTCAGGTCATGATCACAGGGAGCTGGGATCGAGCCCTGTGTCAGGCTCTAAGCTCAGCAGGGAGTCTGCTTCTCCCTCTCCCTGCTCATGCTCTCTCTCCTCTCAATAAATAAATAAAATTTAAATATTTGAAGGCTTATCGTTATTGTTATATTTTGTCTCTACAAGTAGGACTACAGAGAAGTCGTCTATGGGAATATAAAGAAAGGTTAATCAGTGAAAACTGCCAGAGATGATTTTCGAGGCCCCAGGGCTTGTGAGGGCCCCTGCAACCAATGTTTCAGCAGAAGTTACATTATAGATGAGAGATATGGGGTAAATAGTTGAACTCAGTAAGCTTTAAAGTTCTCTCTAGCCTTGTGGCTGTATAATTCTAGGAAAAAATGATTAGAATAAAATAATGGTTTCTAGTTGTAGACACCTCAGTTATCTGAGTTATTAATCAGCTTATTTGAGTACTTACGTAGTGATTAGTACTATTTGGGGTTATGGTTGAAAGTGCTCAAGTGGGGAGCTATGGAATACAGAAGCAATTTAGGGGAAGCAGGACCCAGGACTTAGGTGGGAAGGGCCAAGGTTATAAAACCCTTTATGAGCCCACAAGAAGCAAAGAACACCTTGTCTTGGGTGGGATGACTGTTAAGGAATTAATTTGCTAAATATCATTAATTATTGTGGAATTTATTTGGTCTTCATTATAAAGCTGGATCATTTGGTTTTCTTTGTAGACAGGAATTTTAAAAGCAAGTTATGATTCTAGAGAACAAAATTTGACTCTGAATAAAAGATTTTATTTGCTCCTGAAATTAATTCCCATTCCTGTGACAAAGAGAAACCCCTATGCCTGTTTGTTGTGGGGGCAAAATGAATCTGTGGGTAATTGTGCTTGTTAAATAAATACTTCTGAGTTGGTTCTTCTGTAAGTAATTCCCCTCCCTACTCCCTCACATGCCAGGATGGGGAATCCACCTAGAAACTTTATTCTGCATCTGTCATGGTACCAGTATGACAGATGGTCTTATTAGGTGGCCAACAGCAGAGCTAAAAAAGTCAGATATCAAGGAATCTTTAGCATTAGGAAGGCTTTTCTGGGAGGGATTATGTAAGAGACTTAAATCACTTGAATCTGTGTTATACATATTCCACTCTATGTTAAAATTTTAATAGCTTATAATTATTTCTGGTAATAAATTGAATGTTTCCTCTAATATTTCATTGGCTTTTTTGAGAAAAAACTCTGAGGTCCGGTTACAAAGAGGTGGTGAAAAAGGAAACATTTGGGGGCGCCTAGGTGGCTCAGTGGGTTAAGCCTCTGCCTTAGGCTCAGGTCATGATCTCAGGGTCCTGGGATCGAGCCCTGCATCAGGCTCTCTGCTCAGCGGTGAACCTGCTTCCCTCCCTCTCTGTCCCTCTGCCTACTTGTGATCTTTGTCAAGTAAATAAATAAAATCTAAAAAAAAAGAAAAAGAAAAAGGAAATATTTGGTGACTCAAACTAGAATAAATGAATAAAGGCAGTTTCTAATTTTTGTTTTTGTTTTCCAAGGTCATTTAAAAAAAGATTTATTTATTACTTTGGGGGGGGCAAGCATGTGAACAAGCATGGGGTGGGGGCAGAGGGAGAGAAAGTATCTCCAGCAGACTCCCTGCTGAGCACAGAGCCTGATGTAGGGCTTGATGCCACAACCCTGAGATCACGACCTGAGCCAATATCAAGAGTCAGATGCTGGGGCGCCTGGGTGGCTCAGGGGGTTAAAGCCTCTGCCTCTGGCTCAGATCGTGATCCCAGGGTCCTGGGATGGAGTCCCGAGTTAGGCTCTCTGCTCAGCAGGGAGCCTGCTTCCTCCCCTCTCTCTCTGCCTGTTTCTCTGCCTGCTTGTGATCTATGTCTGTCGAATAAATACATAAAATCTTAAAAAAAAAAAAAAAAGAAGGAAAAAAAAAAAAGAGAGATGCTTAACTGACCGCACCACTCAGGCGCCACTCCAAGGTTGTTTTTTGAGAGCTTAAGGTGCATTGCTAATAGAAGCATGTTATAATATAGAAAATTCCCATGCTGGGCCATGAAAATCTATTTATCCATGATACATGTTAACTGTGTCACTTAGAGCATTAAGTCGGCTATCCCTCACCACCACATGTAAAGTGTGAGTAAATCCATTTGGATTTCCTGCAGCGTAGTACACAACATGTCATTGTCTCTTATCACACTGTATATGGCTTTCACATGGTTGGGGAGTGCCTGTGCTGTGTTTAAGAGCTGTGATGTTTGGGGTGCCTGGGTGGCTCAGTGGGTTGGGGCCTCTGCCTTAGGCTCAGGTCATGGTCCCAGGGTCTTGGGATCGAGCCCCGCATCGGGCTCTCTGCTCGGTGGGGAGCCTGCTTCCTCCTCTCTCTCTCTGCCTGCCTCTCTGCCTACTTGTGATGTCTGTCAAATAAATAAATAAAAATCTTAAAAAAAAAAGAGAGCTGTGATGTTTTCAGTTCCGCCTCTCTTTGGTTTCATTTTTGAATCGATAGGGAGCTCTCTAGAAGAAGGAAGAGCTGTGTAGATTTTAAAAGATGTATGTGTCCACGGGGCACAACAGTACTGTGAAATTTATTTTGACTTTTGCACATTTTCAGTAATTGGCCATTTTAAGCATAACTATCTAAAAACCTCTTTAAAAACATCTTGAGTAATAGGATAAAAATAAACATTTTTTTAAAAATCCCTTTTTTTATTGGCTGGGGTACTTGTAAGGTCTACACAAGCCCTTCTGTGTACTCTCTGGATCGAGTAGTTGCCGGATTTCGAACACGAAGTCAGATGCTGCTGGGTCACATAGAAGAACAAGATGAAGTCCTCCACTGCCAATTTTCTGACAACAGTGATGATGAAGAATCCGAAGGCCAAGAGAAATCTGAAATTAGGTATGTTTAAAAAATCGACTAATTTAATAAACGTATGATGCAATCATTATAGGTGTAGGTCTTTTTTTCATTAACATGTAACATTACCATTTAATATAAGAGTAGGTAGTTTTTGCTAAATGTGTTGTCTGCTAATGTGTTATGAAACCAGTGTTTGAACACAAGTTATCCGTCTTAAAATTGAAAAATAATTTTGCATGTAGGGCTTTTATAGTTGTTGGATTTTAATTTTCAGAGAGAGTATTTGTGGATTTCTTGATTTTGCTGCCACGGTGGCAACAAACATAATACATTTTCCACTGAGTTCAGCTTGGGGGAGATAGCCTTTTGCTTTGAGGAATATTAGTAAAATTTTGTTTATATAATTAATAATTTTTTAATATTACTGTCAGTTTTGGGGAAACCAGTTTGAGGGCAGATGAGAAGACACTAACAGACAAGTTACCTTTGATCCTGATCTTTTTTTTTTTTTAGATGTAGAAGTCGCTCATGTCTTCAGAAGCCAGGCTCTGTTTGTTCTCTTGTTGAATCGAATGACATTCAGGATCAAACACAAAAGTCAAGTTTGGGGAATGAAGGTACACAGACTTTCTCAAGTTATTTAGATTTAATGTTTACAACGCTTCTCTTTTTCTTTAGTCATTAATATAAGAAGTATCTAGGAGTTCTCAAAGATGGGAACTTGTTAAGTGTGCTTTCCTGGTTGGTGGAACTTCCTTTATGTTCTCTGTTCTATCTCTAATTTTTCACTCTGTACTGCTTAATAAAAAAATTTTCCCAAAAATCAATTCTGGCTAGAGTTACAGGCTAAATGTCTTAGAATGGGGAACTTGTATCCAAACTTGAGTTGATATTTTCATTGTACTCTGGACTACTTTAAAATACAGTTTAAGTAATTTACTAGGGTGCCTGTGGCTAAGTGGGTTAAGTGTCTGCCTTCGGCTCAGGTCATGATCCCAGGGTCCTGGGATCAGCCCACGTTGGGCTCCCTGCTTGGCGGGGAGTCTGCATCTCCCTCTGCCCCACCCCCTGCTTGTTCTCTCTCTCTCAAATAAATAAAATCTTAAGAAAGAGAGAAAGTAATGTACTAGTTGTCTACTGCTTCAGTGGTGCACTTGCCTACCAGTAGTGATGCATGCAACATTAGAGCCAAATTAGTCTGCTGAGTGCTCAGAATGTTCTAGTATACAACTGATGAGCATCAAAATGTTTGTGTTGCCAAAACTTATTGTGATTTTTAACTCATTTCTCTTGGCCTGTGAGTGGTCAAAACATGAAAAGAAAGAGCATAGGGAATATCAATTATATAATAGATAAATCCTACACTATGAAAATAGAGTCTCTTAACTTTGAGAGCTTATGTATGTAATATTAACAAAAATGATTATATCACAAACATTTTAAAATGTATAAATAGTATAGATAGTGCTACAGATGTTTAAATAGTGCCTACTCAAGTATCCATCCTTGACCAGTTCAGTACTGGTTTACAATCAGGTAAGAAATTTATTCCAGAATTTAAATCAGTGCACTAGCTTCTTAACTGAGGAAGTCTTGCTGTGGAAAAAAAAAAAAAAGAAAGAAAGAAAGAAAGAAAAGAAATTAGCTGAATTAAAACAGTGACATAGTTGACTTTCATTCCAGTAGCCACAGTGCTGGACTACGCTTTGAGTAGTCTGGTGTAGACCGCATTCTCCGATTACAATAAAAGTAGAAGTTAATGGGAAAAAATTTCAACCCTCTACCCACCCTGGAGATCTTATACCTTTTTTTTTTTTTTTTTTAAGATTTTATTTATTTATTTGACAGACAGAGATCACAAGTAGGCAGAGAGGCAGGCAGAGAGAGAGGGGGAAGCAGGCTCCTTGCCGAGCAGAGAGCCTGATGCGGGGCTCAATCCCAGGACCCTGAGATCATGACCTGAGCTGAAGGCAGAGGCTTAACCCACTGAGCCACCCAGGTGCCCACCTTTTTTTTTTTTTTTTTAAAGATTTTATTTATTTATGTGAGAGAGAGAATGAGAGAGAGTGAGAACATGAGAGGGGAGAAGGTCAGAGGGAGAAGCAGACTCCCTGCTGAGCAGGGAGCCCAATGTAGAACTCGATCCTGTGACTCCAGGATCATGACCTGAGCTGAAGGCAGTCACTTAACTGAGCCACCCAGGTGCCTTGATCTTACACCTTTTTAAAAAATAACTCAGATTAAAAAAACTCATATATCACGTATCTAAGGGCAATGAATTACTATGTATCAGAACCCACAGGATATGACTGAAGCTCACCATAAGCTAGAATATTAAAGTCCCAATTGCCATGTGGTTTTTTTTCCTTTCTTTCCCTTGCTGTTTGTCTCTTTCTATGCTACCTCTAGACTGTTTCTCTGTCTGCTTCTCTTATTTAACTCCACTGCTATTGAATAGCTTATGAGCTTGTAGTTTTCTCAGTTTTGCTTCTTTTTCTTTAAAGATTTAAAGATTGAATGTCTTCAGGAGAGTCAAGATATGAATTTGCAAAAATTAAGGAATTCAGAACTCATACTTACTGAAGCTAAACAAAAAATGAGAGAACTTACAATTAACATCAAGATGAAGGAAGATCTAATTAAAGAATTAATAAAAACAGGTAATACTGTCCTGTGAATGAGCTTTTATGAGGAAGAAAATCTTCTAAAATTGCTTCTAATGTTGTAACACTTATTTTAGTTTTTTACCCTGAGCTCTGTCCACTGTAGCTTGGAACTTGGCATAACAAGGTATGTTTCATAGCCAAGAGGTGGACGTTAGTTCTCAGAAGAACATTGTTACACTGGGATTTCAGCTATGAATGGTTCTACTACTGGGAACTCTGTGTTGTGCTGAAACTCTAGGGGTACTTAATGTTTTTTGCCACTTTTTGAGAAACATTATACTAGGTATCTAGGAATATGTCAGCTATTTTTCTAACTCACTTTAATATTAAATTACTAGTCCTTATTCTTTTGGATAGTTTTCAACATTATTAATTAACGTTTCAAATGTAGATCATTTTAATTTCTCTGAAGATGTAAGGATTTATGCTTGAGAGCTATTCCCTTAGTGAGCTGAGCTTTTAGCTCTTCCCCTTAGTTTCAGATTCTGCCTGGTTGGGTGTATGTACCGCATCCTCTCCTCACCCTTTAGCTACATCATTAGGCTGGTCTTGAAAATCATGTCTCAGGCTTTTGGGGTTTTTGCCCCTAATATACTCAAAGGGTGAGCTTTGACTACTTTGGAATTCAGTAAGGAATTGAAAGGATAATAAACCACAGCATTTCTTTTTTTCAGCTTCAGTGAAACATGGGTCACATTTAAGGGAACTGAAGGAAATGTTACCTTTTTTTCCTTTAAGCCCGAGGCTATAATCATGCTCAGATTACATGAATGATGGTGGCTCCCAGCAACTCTGCCAGCAAGGGGCAATCTGCCTTCCCACTTCCTTCCTCTTTCTGGCAAGCTTGTTTTCTGGCTGGCTGGCCTCTTTTCTCACCCTCCTCTCCCTAATCACTGTCCCAACGCATTTCCCTTCCTCAGTCCTAGTGACGAATGTGCTCTGTGTGCATCATTCTAGCTCCTGGTGTCCCAGATGTTTGACTGAGCTTGACCACGATCCTCCTTCACAGGCAGGATCAATGCCAATAAATCTCTCTCAGGAGCGTTGAGGAACTGATTTAGGAGTGTAAATAGCTTCTCCACCAGGGTACAGCCTGTGGAAGTTAAGGCTACGTGCCCTTTTGGAACAAACGATTTTCTTTTTGATAGGTGAGGACACTGTGGGATCTCTCCCTAAACAAGCACACTTTTGTAGCCCCAGGGGACTCATCCTGGTTGCCTTAAGGTAGAGGATTCTTGAACTTGCACAGAGAGGTCCTCTTCTTACTCGTTCGAACCAAGGGCAGTTTGGAGCTTTCCTTAGAGATGGTGACTCGCAAAAGGGTCACCGTGTGCTTGTTTTCCAGAGCCTCCTCACTCAAGTCTTCCCCCAAAGAGCAGTGATTTCAGCCAACAAGTGACGACCACCCTGTATTTCATCATTTCTCATCATTTCTTTTACATTTTCATATCTTCGAAATCAGGATGCACCTTACCCTGCATGGCATCCGGGCATTTTGTCATGTACCTGGTGTAAATGGCACTCTCCCTTTCTTCTTAGTGACTCACAAAGTACTGGTGTGTTGAACAATATAGGGGGTCTTAAATTCATTCAAATATAGTAGCCATGTGTATTTTAAAGTTAGATATAACCAGAGAGTTCTAGAGCCAGAAGACAACTCATAGTGCATTGAGTTCCGTCATTGCTTTTTATTAAAAAATGGAGATTTTTCAGTACAGCAGTAGAACACACTTCCCCTGGGGATAATTCATCCCACAAGCTTTGGACTCTTTTCCATTGCCACGAGTTTGCTAGTTTAGTTCAGGGATAAGTTGGCTGTTCAGAACAAATCAAAACCAAGTTTTTAGGGTCAGTAGCTGAGTTTAGGATGAAAAGAGATACAGAAATATCTGTATTCTGTTTTTCTCTATGCTCCAAATACTAGAAAATGATTGAAAAAATTCATCTTTGACAAGTTCAACCGAATGGAAAAAGAGGGGGTCCACTCTAGAATGAAAGATTTGTAAGAGACAAAATGAGATGTATTCTCGGGCTTTTTTGGATGGTGATTATAATAAACCAATTGTAAAAGACGTTTTGAGACAATTCGGCAAGTCTGAATAGGGTCAGGTAGGGATTAATGTTGTGAGGTGTGACAGAATTTTTGGCTATGTCCATATTTGGAATAGATGTTTATTGAAGTATGTGTAGGTTGCCATGACAGGACATCTGATTGTTTTATAGTTCTTCAGCAAATTAAGGGAAGACAGGCATAGATGAAGCCAACTATGGCAAAATCTTGTGAACTCTCGAATCTCAGTGATGGGAGTTCATCAGGTTATTTTTTTACTTTTGCTATGTTGGGAATTTTTCATAGTAGAGAAAACAAGATTACAGGTACTGGGAAGCCAAAGTGCAGTAAGCAAAAAGCCAAAGAATCACCCCAAGTATTTTTCTTACCTGGAGTCTGATGCCAGCAAAGCTAATACCCCAAATTCAGAAAATCAGAAACACACCAAGATGAGCCTGTGAGAGGCTGGACTGGCACCAGGTGCGAACAGTCAGTAAGCAGCTGATTATTAAGAGCCCAGGTGGCAAGTTGTATTTGATGGGGATGAGCGAGGACAGCTGGGCTCATGCTGCTGGGTCTTAAAGAGCTACACACCCAACCAGATTTTGCAGAATAGAGCATTTTTGAGGTTTTGATATTTTACTTCGTTTATTTTTTTAAACGTAATTTATAATTGTTGTTACTATTATTACTGTGGTGAAGGTAACGATGCCAAGTCGGTAAGCAAACAGTATTCTCTGAAAGTAACAAAACTTGAACACGAAGCAGAACGGGCGAAGGTGGAATTAACTGAAACAGAGAAGCAGCTGCAAGAACTAGAAAACAAAGATCTTTCTGATATTGCTTTGAAGGTAAAATTACAGAAGGAATTCCGTAAAAAGATGGATGCCGCAAAGCTAAGAGTCCAGGTAATTTTCAAAATGTAATTGTGTGCAAACTTACTTAAGGCTTACTGCTTTCATAGCTGGTTAGGAAAGAAGTAGGATTCGGTTTTCACCAGCAAGAGAAATGGGACAGCAGCTCTTCTTTCCTGGTATGCTGGCAAGTTTTCCTCCTTTCAATCTGGGTCCTATATTCTTCATTCGAGAAGTATATTAAAGTTTTTATCAAAAACCAATGGTGAGAAAAAGATAACCACAGAACTGTGTTCTTTTTTGAGGGACGAAAGATTGATGATTTAATCATACACAGAGAACATCTGGTAGGCATAGGGCACCTTGTGCACACACTCAGCAAATGCTATTATTTCAGACTGTTTTCTGAAACTATCACTGATTGCTTTAGGAAAGGTTCGGAACTGACATATTCTTGATTTCCTAGCGCTGGATTTAGCTATGACCTCAGAAATAGCTACCATTAAAAATGTCATTCTATGAGAAGCACTCCATTACAGGGAGATTTTTGTGTATAATGAAGCCATTTTCAGATGGTTTGGGGGATGATCAGAGTGCTTTGTCAGTCCGATTCTAATGAATTTGCTAGAATGTTATCCATTTTTTTCATTCATGATCTATTACTTTCCTGTTGTTTCCACTGTGGGGAGAGTGGAATTGTAGTTCACCTGTTCAGAACATGATCAGTTTATTTTTGGAACTGTGCCACAATTATTTTCTCTCAGCAAGGTCAGTGTCCACTGCACATGAGCAGACCAAACACCAAGTTCCACCTCAAACATCTGGCCCTCCCCCCCCAAATTTTTTTTTACCTAAGTAGCCTGTCAACACAGAGCTAGCATAGTAGGACTTAATATATGAACTGCTTAGAGGAGATGGTAGTGGTATGTGTCGCCTGTCCTACTTTCCTTCATAATACTTATTTCAGAAATATGTGTTTTCATTTAGCACTTCACCTCAGAGAGACTTGGCATCCATTCTTTTTCACTTTTCAGTCCTTAAAATTGGGACTACAGTGTCTAACAAAGTGCTCATGTTAACAGAACATTAGTAGAACAGAACAATTAAGATCTTTCCTTTGTTTATTACAGAATTTTACTTATAACTTCATAGTTTTCAAACTTTAGTTCTGATTATAATTTTTATTCTCCGTATTAATCAAAATGATTGTTTTTCTAAGGAGGTTGTTGATCATATATACACACACCTGTGGTTTAAGCCTTGTTTGTGGATTTAGCAAAGATTTTTCCCCCAAGTTTTTATTTAAATTCAAGTTAGTTAACATATAGAATTGTATTGCTTTCAGGAATAGAATTTAATGATTCATCACTTACAGCACCCAGGGCTAACATGACGAGTGCCCTCCTTAATACCCAACACCCATTTAGCCCTTCCCCTCCACCCCCCACCTCTCCATCCACCCTTAGTTTGTTCTCTCTAGTTAAGAGTCTCTTTCTGTTTGCCTCTCTCTCTCTCCTTATTTTATTTTTCCTTCCCTTCCCGTATGATCATCTGTTTTGTTTCTTAAATTCAACATATGAGTGAAACCGTATGGTATTTGTCTTTTTCTGATTTATTTCACTTAGCATAATACCCTCTAGTTTCATCCACATTGTTGCAAATGGGAAGATTGCATTCTTTTTTGATGGCTGAGTCATATTTTGTTTTATATACATATATCTCTCACATCTTCATTATCCATTCATCAGTTAGGCTCTTTCCAGAATTTGGCTCTTGTTGATAATGTTGCTATAAACATCAGGGTGCATGTGCCCCTTGAATCTGTATTTTTGTAGCCTTTAGGTAAATACCTAGTAGTGCAGGTATTTACACTGCACTAATTACAAAATTAGAACTAGGGTAGTTCTAATTTTAACTTTTTGAGGAACCTCCATACTGTTTTCAAGAGTGACTATACAAGCTTGCATTCCCACCAACAGTAAGAGGGTTCCCCTTTCTCCGTATCCCTGCCACATCTGTTTCCTGTGTTAATTAATTTTAACCATTCTGACAGGTGTGAGGTGGTACCTCATCATGGTTTTGATTTGTATTTCCCTGATGCCAAGTGATGTTGAGTGGTTTTTTTTTGGATAGCTAATTTTTTTTTTTATAAACATACAATGTATTTTTAGCCCCAGGGGTACAGGTCTATGAATCACCAGGTTTACACACTTCACAGCATTGAGTGTCTTTTCATGTGTCTTTTAGCCATCTGGATGTCTTTCTTGGGAACATGTTTGTTCATGTCTTCTACCCATTTCTTAATTGAATTATTTATTTTTGGGGTGTTGAGTTTGGTAAGTTCTGTATAGATTTGTTCTGTTAGAAAGGATACTAAGTTCTGTTAGAAAGGATACTAATCCTTTATCAGATATGTCATTTGCAAATATCTTCTCCCATTCTGTTGGCTGTCTTTTGGTTTTGTCGACTGTTTCTTTTGCTGTGCAGAAGTTTTTTATCTTGATGAAGTCCCAGTAATTCATTTTTGCTTTTGTTTCTCTTGCCTCTGTTGATGTATCTAGGAAGTTGCTGCTCTGGCTGAGGTCAAAAAGGTTGCTGCTTGTGTTCTCCTCTAGGATTATCATGGTTTCCTGTCTCACATGTAGGTCTTTCACCCATTTTGAATTTATTTTTGTGTATGGTATAAGAAAGTGGTCCAGTTTCATTCTTCTGCATGTTGTTGTCTAGTTTTCCCAACACCATTTGTTGAAGGGACTCTCTTTTTGTCATTGAGTATTCTTTCCTGCTTTGTCAAAGATCAATTGACCATACAGTTGTGGGTCCATCTCTGGGCTCTCTATTCTGTTCCGTTGGTCTCTGTGTCAGTACCATACTGTCTTGATGATGACAGCTTTGTAACAGAGCTTGAAGTCCAGAATCATGATGCTTCCTGCTTTGCTTTTCTTTTTCCACATTGCTTTGGCTATTTAGGGTCTTTTCTGGTTCCATACAAATTTTAGGACTGTTTGTTCTAGCTGTGTGAAAAATGCTGGTGGTATTTTGATAGGAATTGTATTGAATGTGTAGATTGCTTTGGGTAGTATAGACATTTGAGCAATATTTGCTCTTCTCATCCACGAGCATGGAATGTTTTTCCACTTGTTTGTGTCTTCTTCAATTTCATAAGTATTGTATAGGTTTCTGAAGGAAAACTTTCCTTTCTTTTACCTCTTTGGTTAGGTTTATTCCTAGGTATCTAATGCTTTTTGGTGGAATTGTAAATTGAATCAATTCCTTGATTTCTCTTTCTGCTTCATTATTGGTGTGTAAAATGCAACAGATTTCTATATGTTGATTTTATATCCTGCAGCTTTGCTGAATTCACGTTTCGGTTCTAGCAATTCTTTGGTGGAGTCTTTGAGTCTTCTACATAGAGTATCATGTCATCTGGAAGAGTGAAAGTTTGACTTCTTCCTTGCCAATCTGAATGCTCTTTATTTCTTTTTGTTGTCTGCTGAGGCTAGGACTTCCAGTACTATGTTGAACAGCAGTGGTGAGAGTGGACATCTCTCTCGTGTTCCTGACCTCAGGGGAAAGCTCTAAGTTTTTCCCCATTGAGGAGGATATTAGCTGCGGGACTTTTGTGTATGGCCTTTATGTTGTTGAGGTATGTTCCTTCTATGCCTACTTTCTTGAGGGTTTTTATCAAGAAAAGGTGCTATGCTTTGTCACATGTTTTTTCTGCGTCTATTGAGAGGATTGTGTGGTTCTTATCCTTTTATTAATGTGGTGTATCACACTGATTGATTGATTGATTTGCAGATATTGAACCGCCCCTGGAGCCCAGGAATAAATTCCACTTGATCGTGCTGAATAATTCTTTTAAGGTATTGTTGTATACAATTTGCTAGTATCTTGTTGAGAATTTTTGCACCCATGTTCATCAGGGATGTTGATCTGTAATTCTTTCAAGTGGGATCTCTGTCTGGTTTTGGGATCAAGGTAATGCTGGCCTCACAGAATGAGTTTGGAAATTTTCCTTCCATTTCAATCTTTTCGGACAGTTTCAGGAGAATAGGTATTAATTCTTCTTTAAATGTTTGGTAGAATTCCCCTGGGAAGCCCTCTGGCCCTGGACTTGTTTGTTGGGAGATTTTTCATTCCTGATTCAAATTCTTTGCTGGTTATGGGTCTGTTCAAGTTTTCTATTTCTACCTGTTTCAGTTTTGATAATTTATACATTTCTAGGAATTTATCTATTTCTTCCATATTGCCCAATTTTTTGGCATATAAGTGTTCATAATATTCTCTTTTAATTGTTTATATTTCTGCAGTCTTGGTTGTGATCTCTCCTTTCATTTGTGATTTTATTTATTTGGGTCCTTTCTCTTTTCCTTTTGATAAGTCTGGCTAGGGGTTTATCAACTTTGTTAATTCTTTCAAAATACCAGCTCCAAGTTTCTTTCTTTCTTTTTTTTTTTAAGATGTTATTTTTATTTATTTGACAGAGAGAGATCACAAGTAGGCAGAGAGGCAGACAGAGAGGAGGAAGCAGGCTCCCCGCTGAGCAGAGAGCCCGATGTGGGGCTCGATCCCAGGACCCTGGAATCATGACCTGAGCCGAAGGCAGAGGCTTTAACCCACTGAGCCACGCAGGTGCCCCCAGCAACAAGTTTCTTTGATCTACTTTTTTTTTTTTTTTTAAATTTCTGTATCATTTATTTCTGCTCTTATCTTTATTATTTCCCTTCTTCTGCTGGTTTTAGGCTTTATTTGCTCTTCTCTTCCCAGATCCTTTAGCTGTAAGTTTAGGTTGTATATTTGAGAATTTTCTTGCTTTGAGGAAGACCTGAATTAGCAAAAGTTATTTTTTATATGTTCTATATTTAACACAGCAACAATGATTGAATTAAAAGATTAAATAAAAGCTTTTTATTAGGGTTTGAGAATTACCATGGTCTCTTGTTTACTATGTTTCTTGTTGCATATCCTTTTCTGCTAAGGGGATTGATAAGGAAAGGAAAGAAGACACAGAACATAATTAAGCTCAAAAGAAACATTCCACACAGCATGGGACTGACAGGATTCCTGTATAGTTTTAGAAATGGCTGTGCCCTTGACCTATTCATGCACACCCAGCGGGGATGTGGATGGTGGCAGGGCTGGGGAGGAGGATGGTAGTTACCAGTTAAGCATTTACATACCAGATGTTTCATATGTATTATTTAATCATTATTTAACCCTTTAGAGAGTATTTTTACTGTGTTTTACAAAGGAGAAAACTAAGGTTTGGAAAGGTAAAGTAACTCATTTAGAGTCACATAATTGAAGTGACAATAACAGTTTTCAGTACTCTGACATCTCATGCCATTTTACAATATTGAAATACTAGCGTTTTTATTGGTACAATGAAGTTTTTTTTAAGTTTTGAAAACTTAAATTCTTTTATTTAAAAAATCTAAAATCTGTATTCTTTATGTCTACATATATGCAGAGAGTTATATAGTGTGTTAATGCTTTAAAGCTGCCAGTAAGGTACACTTTTGAGCATGTGCAGAATCAGTGCAAAAGACAATGGCAACCTATCTCAGTCTTAAGATTATCAGTACTTCTACTGGTATTTCCAGTATTATGTGGAAAGACACTAAAATACCAGTATTAGATTTTTACTCCAGTATTGCAGTTACTATCAAAAGTAAGTTGCAAAGCTAGTGTCCAAATATAGGGATGCGAAACTACAGAGTCCTATGGCCTCCAGGCTAGTGGTGCTCAAAGTCACCTGTGGATCATTTGTTATCTATCTATGATGAGAGAAAGGCACATGGGGGCACAGCTCCCTGTATCAAAAAGGTCTCGATGCAAACAGAGTCAGCTGAACCTAACAGTATGCAAGTTGACAACAATCTGTGGCCCGTACTGGTCCTGCTCTAAGCGACAAAGCCTCTGTGAATGCCTAGTTTAATGAAAACAAAAGGTGTTTTTGCCAACAATTTATTGCGAAGATAAGGGAAATAACTGTAGTCTGCATAATTTACAAATGACTTCACCCTTTTTATGTCATATGAGAGGTACTTAGTGCAATGCTAAAGCACCTAGTACAGGTTTAAAATATATGTTTGATGAGGATTAAATTGGAACACTTATATTTTCTATTAGTAGTATAAACTCTTTGCAAACATTCACACATATTTTATGCTACTCATCAATAATTTTAGCAAGATGAAGAGAAGCTTTAAGAGAGTTAAAATGGTAATTGTAACGGTTAGTCACAGTAAGGCAAATGGTATCAGTTCTGATTATCTTAACTCAGGGATTAATTATTTAGGCTATAGCTGGATAAAAAAGAGGAGCCCAGTGGACTACTTTGCAATCACATGGAACAAATTTCTGTGAAAAGATCTCTAAGATGAATAGAGAAAAAGTGAGGTGAAAAATAGCCTATTTAGAATATATATGAAGTTATTTGCATGCATATTAATTACTTCTGGAAGAATAATTAAGAAATTGGTAATTTGGTGTTAGGAAACAGAACAGTAGATTTGAGGTCTGAGATAAGTCTTTTATAATAGAAGTACAGTTTTATATTTTAATTTTTATCATTTTTTAAAAACAATAAAAAAGCAAAGATACCAGTTTTGTTCTGTTTGGCTGGTAAGTATCAGGGAGGCTCATCATCATGAAATCTGGTGAAGATTACAATGGTGGCCCAATTGTCAAAGTAGACCTGTAGGTCTACAATTAGGAGCCTGTCAGAAATAATGAAAATCTAGGCAAAATGCTTACCTTTGACATAGAATGAAAAGTTTAAGTTTACTGGAGGTTTGTTAGAGATGCAGTTTTTCATTCTGAAATATTCCATATGATCCGCAGGTCTTACAGAAGAAGCAACAAAACAGTAAGAAATTGGCATCACTGTCGATCCAAAATGAGAAACGTGCTACTGAACTAGAGCAGAATGTAGATCACATGAAATATCAAAAGGTACAGCTGCAAAAAAGACTTCGAGAAGAAAATGAAAAAAGGAAGCAACTGGATGCAGATATCAAGCGGGATCAACAAAAAATCAAAGTAATACTGTCATACTTTCCTGCTAAGTCTAATAGGAAGTGTTAAATGGCTCAGGGCTGACGAAGCCAAGGTCTCCATTGACTTGGCTTCTGAGGGATCTCACCTTGGCCTGACCTCAGCTGCTGTCCTCATTCACTTAAAACTTTGTTCATCTACATAGTAAAACCTATTTATTGAATTCTGAGTACTGTCTTGAAGGCTTTGACTTCACAAAAGAAGATACAGTGATGACGGTTTCTCTAACAAGGACCTTTACTTGAGACTGTCAAAAACATATAAAGCTGACTTTTGAAAAAAATATCTAACATTTGGTAGGATTTCCCATTTCCAAAGTGTTTCGACATGCACTGTCCATGTAACAGCGTGGGGAAAAGCACGAGGTAAAAATGGTACCATTTCATTCCTAATGAGCAGAAGAATGATCAGACCTCTCTGCCCAGCAATTCTATAGCATGGATTAGTCTGGGGAGGAACTAAGGCCATCTGCCTGGGCTCTGGTGCCAGACTACCATGGGTTCAGATCCCAGCCTCCTCAGTTCATTTACTGAGAAAATCACTTACCCTCTCTGAGTCTGTTTATTCTCCTCGAAAATGGCCTTAATCATGCCTACCTCACAGGGCTCTTTTGAAAAGAGGAGGACAATAATGGTCATGACAACAGCAATAACAAACACTTACCTGGCAGTAGGTACCAGGCTCTTTTCTATTGAAATGTTAAGCTGAACTGAAGCCTTGGGACATAATTGATTTCAAGATTTTTAACTTTGGAATATAATCTATTTTTAGACCTTAAAAAAAAAAAAAACACAGAATTTAGTGATGCAACAAAGGTTAAATAACATTTAAGCCTAGTTACTGATTCTTTTTTTTAACAGCTGTATTGAGATATCCTTCCTATGCCATACAATTCACTCATGTAAAATATACAGTTCAGTGGGTTTTGGGCATATTACATTATTTTTGTAAATTTTGGTAAAATAACATAAAATTTTCCATTTTAATCAAGTTTAAATGTACAGTTCCATGACATTGATTACATTCACAGTGTTGTACAACTGAGACCACTAGCTATCTTCAAAACTTTTTCATCACTCAAAACAGACACACTGTATGTGCTATGATTGAGTGCTGTGAAATGTGTAAAGGGATAAAAATACATTATATGTTTATAAAAAAATTTAAAAATTAATTAAAACAAACAAACAGACACTCTGTAACCATTAAGCAATAATTTCCCATTTTCCCCCTTCCCCTCTAGCCCCTGGTAACTTCTCATCTAATTCTGTCTCTCCGAATTTGCCTATTCTAGCTATTTCATAAAAATGGAATCTTAAAATATTTATCCTGTGTCTGGCTTCTTTCACTTCGTATAACATTTTCAGGGTTCATCCATGTTGTAGCATGTATCAGAATTTCATTATTTTTTGTGGCCAAGTAATACTCCATTGTGTGTCTAGACCACATTTGTTCCATCCATTTATCTGTTGGTAGACATGCGGGTGGCTTCCATCTTTTGGTTACTATAAGTAATATTGTGGTAAAAATTGGCCTACAGGTTAACTGTTGAAGTCCTAGGAGTGGAATTGCTGGGTCATATAATTCTATGTTTCATTTTTTCAGGAATTACCAACTGTTTTTGTTGGAGAACAGAACCATTTTACATTCCCACCAACAACGCATGAGGGTTTTAATTTCTCTATATTTTTGCCAACACACATTATTTTCTTTCTATTACAGGCATCCAAGCATGTGTGAAGTGGTATCTCCTTGTGGTTCTGATTTGTATTTCCCTACTGACTAATGATGTTGAGCATCATTATAGGCCATTTGAATATCTTCTATGCAGAAATGTCTTTCAAGTTCTTTGCTTTTCAAATGGATTATCTTTTTAATTAAGTCATAGGTGTTGTTTATGTACTCCAGACATTCAACTCTCACATACATGATGACTTCCATATATTTTTCCCGTTTCTGTAGGTTGTCTTTAAACTTTTTTTTTGGGGGGGGGGTTATGGGCAGAAGGAGAGGGAGAGAGAATCTATTTTTTTTAACGATTTATTTATTTTAGAAAGAGTGCACATTTGAGTGGGGGGTGCAGAGGAGAGGGAGAGAGAAAATCTTCAAGCACACTCTCGGATCAGTGTAGCACCTGACGTGGGGCTCAATCTCACAACCCTGATATCATGACCTGAGCCGAAATCAAGAGTTAGACACTTAACCGACTGAGCCACCCCGGTGTCCCAAGAGAATCTTAAGCAGGTTCCACTCCCAGTGTGGAACCTGACAGAGGGCTCGATCTCACAACCATGAAATCATGATCTGAGCCAAAATCAAGAGTCAGATGTTTAATCAACTTAGTCACCCAGGTGTCCCTTTAAAGTTTCTTGATAATATTCTTTGATGGAGCAAGATTATTATGATTTATCTATTTTTTCTTTGGTTGTCTGTGCTTTTGGCGTCTTTTAAAGATTCACTGCCAAATGTGAAGTCACAAAGATTTACCCCTTTGTTTTCTTTTAAGAGTTTTATGGTTTTAGCTCATGTTTAGGTTGTTGATTGATTTTGAGGTCAAACTTCATTCTTTTGCATGTGGAAATCTAGTTGTGCCAGTGCCATCTGTTAAGGAGATTATTCTTTCCCCATAGAATGGACTTGGTACTCTTGTCAAAGATCAGTTGGCTGTAGCCTTATGGATTTATATCTAAACTCAGTTCTGTTCCATTTGTCTGTATGTCTGTCCTTATGCTAGCACCGCACTGTTTTGATTATTGGCTTTGCAATTAGTTTTGAAATGGAAATAAGTCCTTCAACTTTGCTGTTGTTCTTTTTCAAGATGGTTTTGATCATTTGAGACCCCTTGCAATTCCGTATGAATTAAAGGATCAGCCTTTCCATTTCTGCAAAAAAGGCCATTGGAATTTTGATATGGATTGCATTGAATCCGCAGAGTTCTTAGGGTGTATTGCCATCATGACAATATTAGGTCTTCCTACTCATGATCATGGGCTGCCTTTTATTTAGGTCTTCTTTAATCTCTTTCAGCAATCTTTTATAATTTTCAGTGCACAGTCTTTTACCTCCTTGCTTAAATTTATTTCCAGATATTTTATTCTTTTAGATGTTATTATAAATATAATTTTTATCTTAATTTTCTTGAGCTAATCATTCTTAATAATGTAATAGTTATTATAGCAGTAGTTAACATTTATCTTCAGTCAGTACTATTCTAAGCATTTATGTGCTTTGTATCTCATTTAATTCCTTTTTTCCTCATTTTCAAATTTTTTTCCTCCTAGATTCTTTCTTAACATCTTAGATTTTTCTCATCTTAAAATTATCCTCTTTAGGGGCACCCGAGTGGCTCAGTGGGTTAAGCCTCTGCCTTTGGCTCAGGTCATGATTGCAGGATCCTGGGATTGAGCCCCGCATCTGGCTCCCTGCTCAGCGGGGAGCCTGCTTCTCCCTCTCTCTCTGCCTGCCTCTCTGCCTACCTGTGATCTCTTTCTCTTTCCATCAAATAAATAAATAAAAATTAAAAAATAAATAAATAAAATTATCCTCTTTAAACCTAATACTTTTCTCTTTCTTCTCCCCTTAATGACCAAACTTGTTGATTATAAAGTTGACTGGACCTGTTTCTGTTTCTTGTGCTTCTATTCATTTTCTCATCCTCTGCAGTCTGGCATCTGGCTCCTGGCTCTACCATCCACTCCAAAGCTCTGGAGAAATTCACTAGTGCTCTCTCTGTCACTAAAGTCCTTATAAAACCTCAGCTGTATCCAGCATAGTTCACCACTCCCAACATCTTGAAATATTTCCCCCTTGTCCTTCCCCTTGGTTTTTCTCTGTCTTTGCTAACTCATCCTACACTATCAGCCCTTCACATAAAAGAATTCCTCAGAGCTCTAGCTTTATGCCTCTTCTGTATTCTGTCTTAGGTACTTCATCTTTTTCCAAGGCTACAGTTCAACTCTGACAACTTCCAAATTTAATCCTTAATCCCAGATTTGCCTTTGAGCTCTGGATTCCTGTGTCCGGCCACTGACCTCTTCATGAGGTTGTCTTATATATGAATTCATGATCTTCCTTATGTATCGCCCCACAATTCCCCCTCCCTATTCCCTCAGGGAAGAATATGTAGTTTTCCATGTGCTTTTCCAGACATTTCGATCCATTCAGATAGGTAAACTAACTGTCATCCTTGACTCTGTCTTCTTCATTATGACCCATGAACCACTAAGGCCTGTAGATGCTGTTTCTGAATATCTTGGATCTGTTCGTTTCTTGTAACTACTGCCAACAACCTAGTCTCTGTGTTATGGTCGTTCCTCCAGTGTGAGGATTAGGCCTGCCTGTCAGTCACGTGATCTTTGAGTCTCAGCTTCTCCTCTCTCCTAGACCATGGTTTAAACTAACAAAACACAGCAGTCTCTAAATCTCAAAATAAGAGGGTTTTTTTCTTTTCCCTAAGCAGTGCATAGTGCATAGTGTGCTGAAATGCAAATCTGCCTGTAACTTTAAACTTTTTACATTTTTATCTAGGGCAGTTTCGCTTCTTTTAGCCATATCTCTCATTCTAGGGAAACGACCCTATTTAAAGGTAGAACGAGTATCCAGGAAAAGGAACAGTCTGCCCCAAAGATATATTGAAGCTTCCACTACTTCACGCAAAAATAGAAAACCTGCTCACAGTCCTCTTTCGGGAGCTAACTTTGCTCAGAGGCCTCTGTTTAGAGCTAACTTTCTAGCATTGCTGTTTGTCCGTTCTCCATTTGACTAAACCGCTTCCAGAGAATACTAGGATTTCTGCACAGGTTCTCCTTAGAGCAGCAGTTCTTACCGGACATCTGTGGAGGAACAATAAAGAAAAGGCATGGGAACCCCTGAAACCGTGGGCCATCGTGTGACCTTGAGCTTTTTACTTCTCTAAGTACCAGTTTCCCCATCTACACTATGGAGTTTTCGATAGTCTCTGTCTCGTAAGATGACTGTGAGGATTACGTGGCATAATTAAGTAGCTGTGAGAAGCCTAGCGTGATAACAGTGCACAGCTACTTTAGTATTACAACAGGGATTATATTATAAGATAAAGGCAGTAATATCCAGAGCAACATGTAGCAGAGAGGGTAGGACCTACTGCAGTTACTTTTAAAGCATTGGTGGAGGGAGACGCATAGCAGACAGTTTGCTCCCAGTGTCTATAAGGTGTCTTTATTTCTACATCTTGGAGTTGTTGTGACTGTGACTGGGGCTAAGTTATAACTATGGACCAGAGCCTGGGCAGCGTGAAAAAACGAATGGGTCAGTATAATGGGGTCAAATTCACTTGTAATACAGTGCAGATGAACAGACGAAGTAGAACTGTGTTATTTAGTCAATAGAAGCCCTCTGTTCTTTATGCTACCTGCACCCCTCTTGTTCTGCCCAGCCCTTATCATGATAATTGCTGGAAATACAGGAACTAGCCACATGTCACCCTGTTCAGACTTTGTTCTGGTAATTTAGCCATTTTCTTTAAATAATTCCCAGCTCTCCTGAATGAGAATATTCAGTTTCTTAGTCTCTCCCATCGTCCACGCTATGCCTCTCTCCCTGAAGAGAGTGCAGTTTATGTGGTGGTTGGTTGTACAGCTTTCACTGCATCGCGTGGCGTGGAAGGGAAGGGAATTTCAACCAATTGAATTTCAGTTGGTCCCTGGGTGTGACTGTGCTGTCCCTTGTCTGCCTTTCTTTGCCCTGATGATGAAGCCCAGAGCTGGTGTAACATGTAGTCCGGTCTCGCTTTCAGTTTAGAGCACGGAGGCGCTTTGGCTTCATTTCATCTCCTAATGACGTTGTAAGTCCCTGTGGAGGCGACTGGGTCTTCTGTCTAGCTTCCTAGCCCAGTGGCCTGTCCTAATCTTCAGTGTTGGGGTCAGGGCCCCATGACAACTGACTCCCATTGGCTTTCAGTTTCCATGTCACTTGAGGCCATGGAATCTATCATCAGTCTGTCTTTGCTGACTCTACTTCCCACTCCGTCAGCGAGCCTGGGCAGGCCCACGTGGGTGTGGGACCTCTGCGCTGCAGTCTGCCTTCTCTTCCTCTGCCCTCAGTGATACCTTATTCTCCCCCTTTTGGGGCCAAAACGCATGAGGCCAGGAACACACATCTTTCTTACCACCTCTTTTCTCCTTTCTGTCCTTCCCAAGGCTGGAAAATGGTAGTTTCCTTCTACTTTCTTTATATCGGTACTTCTGAAATTATCTGTGGAGAAGGTGCAGTTTTCCTGTTGTTATTAGTTTGTCACAGCCCAGTACTTTTGTAAAACATGAACTGGTTGAAAAATGAAATAAAGAATTAAAATACAGTAAAAGTCCATCTTCTCGTGATTATAGCTATTAATATTCAACAGACATAAAATTATTCTGTTCCATTGTTTTAAAGGTTTCTAAACACTTTCAATTTCTATACTTACCCATCAGGGACCAGTAAGAGATAGTAATGTGGACCAACCCACTTTGATTCCTGGCCTCTTTCCTTGTTCCTGCTAAGCGTTAGTGGTGGGCAGTAGCGTCTTCTCTAAACCCCGGGAGAGCATCCAGGGCCTATTAAGATGTGGATGGAAACGGAAGAAATTTAGAAAATACTCTTCATAGGACCATGATCTCTCTTGGAAGGCTGTTCTCATGCTGCAAAATCCTGTTTCTGAATGCCGGAAACGGAATACTTCTTTTCATATTTCTACTGTCATAAATTCTAATATCCCTATGGCAGAAGGGTACCTTGGGTAGCCCAACTAAAGGACATGAGCTCAGAAAAGCAGAATAGAAAAACACCTTTGTGATTTTCAGACTCTTATCCCTGTTACACTGATTTGTGATATTGGTAAACCATGAAAAAAAAACCCTAGTTTTGTTAATATCTCCTGGTTTTTGCTTCGGTGAGGGGCTGATATTGTTTTCTTCTCAAATAGCTCCAGCTTTCATCTACTCATTCTCTTTCTTTTTACAAAAATATTTAATAAAATATTAGATAAATATTTAATGATAGCCAGGTAGTAAAAGCAGTAAGATGTTCTCAATTTCTGTTCTCTGCAGGAACTAAAGTTAAAAACGGAACAGGAAGAAGCTCTGAAACTGAGAGCTGAGGAGCTCGATGCATTTAAGATGAACAAGAGAAAAGGCTCGTTTGGAAGAACAGACCAGCTCCAGGTTTGTCTGTTCTATTCAGTGTTTCCTGCTTTCTGTTTGCTCCGATGATGGTCTAAATGAAGGTAGAAAATGGCGGACTCCGAATAAAATCTGCAAACACTAGGCCTTGCCACCTGAATACAAATTTTCTAGTATTTCTCTGAAATGTGTCTCTCATTAAAAAATTACTCTCTCATCCAGAAATGTGCTGTGTTCTTATTTCAGTAGAAATAGATTTATTTGAATGTTGTAGAATGTAAACATGAAATTCATGTTCACTAGATTGTTTCCAAGGGACTACACCAGTCTTGATATTCAAATAAAGGCTGGCTTATTCCCATGGAAACAATATATGTCTAAGAATCAGAGCCCTTCCTCCTATTCCTGTGTAACCAAATTGCATATGTACCATATATGATGAATTAAAAAGTTTTTGTTTTAGCGCCACATTTAAAAAATGAAATCCAGGGGCACCTGGGTGGCTCAGTCGGTTAAACATCTGACTCTTCATTTCCACTAAGGTCATGATTTCAGGGTCATGAGATTGAGCCCCATGTTGGGCTCTGTGCTGAGTATGGGAGCCTGCTTGGGATTCGTTCTCTCTCCCTCCCCCTCTGCCCCTCCTCAGCTCTCTCTCTCTCTTTCTCTCAAAAAAGAAAGAAAGAAAGAAAGAAAGAAAACCATAAGCTAATCTCAGAGTTCAAAGAAACAACATCTTTGTTTTATGTAAATTCAAAATGGCAATTCTAAAAATGTTACTGAAAGAAAAATGCACTGAAAACTGTAATTACACTCAAATGCTAATAATATGTCACCTTAATGCTGAAAAATTTGTTTTCTTAAATTTTATGTATCTTAATAATAAAATTTAGTACCTGAATGTATTTCCAATTTATTTGTTCATTTTTTAAAGATTTTATGTATTTATGAGAGAGAGAGGGAGAGTAAGCACCAGAGGAGGGAGAGCAGAGGGAGAGGGAGAAAACAGGCTTCCCACTGATCAGAGAGCCCGATGTGGGACTTGATCCCAGGACCCCCGGATCATGACCCGAGCCAAAGGCAGATGAGACACTTAACCGATTGAGCCACCCAGGCGCCCCTCCAGTTATTTATTTTACTGATGTGTTTTAGACACTGGTTAAAGTGCTCTCACCCTGACATTCCATGCTGCTTCGTAATAATATGTCTGGGGAGTAGGAGAGATAGGAATGCAAAGAATAGTGAGACCTATTTTTCAAAATGTTAAGGTTCTGAATTTTAAATGAATATGATAACCAGAAGATTCCCACAGCTTGCACTCTGTGGATTAAACATATTAATAAAACAAAAACGAAACTTCATGTTTTTTTAATACTGCAAAACAAAAACCCGCTTTCTAGGATTTGACTCTAAACAAGAACAAGATTATAAGGTAATCCATACGAGTGTCCAAAGAGCTTGGAGTAGGACATTGATTTGTAATGAAGCTCCTTTATAAGAAAGCATTTAAAATTGGGACTGTGTGATAGGAACCTTTGCTATAAAAAGAGAAAAATCAAGAAATTTTCAGAAAACTTACTAAGGTACAGTGAATTATACAAATCATAACCTTTATTATTCAAATGCAGAAAATTCAATTCATTTATTATTGTTTCCCTAAAAAACTTGTATTACGTGGACTCCTACCTATTTTTCAAAGCACTTTTAAAATATTACTTACTCTGTGAGGCCAGCACTGACATTTCTTCCATTACCCAGGCAGAGCCAATCCCTCCCTCCATTTTTGCTGACACGGTACCTAGGACTTAGGTGTATATAGAATTTATTATCAATAATCAGAGTTTCTCAGGTCTCCCTCCTATTGGAATGGACCTTACAAAAGATCTGTTATTCATCTTTCAAACGCCACATACTGCCAAGGAGTGTTTATAGAACGTTTTAGCTAATTGGTAGACTTCATAGGGTCTCATATACAGAGTTTCTAAGGTAGAACCAGATATAACAAAACTAAAGTATTTCTGTAGCTGCTCTGGGATAGCCTTCCTGTTTCTTATGATTGTAGAGCTACTATTTTAGGCGTCAGTATTATTTGGATGTGATAGCACTTATAGGACCGTGCTAGGTAGGTCTGGATGGAGGTCTACATAGCTCTAGATCTTCTTTGCTTTGGCCATCTTGCTCTCTTTTTCTTATGCATATTCACTATCTCATTTTATTTTAACCCTTTCTTTTTTTTAAGATTTTATTTATTTGGGAGGAAGAGCGAGCAAGTGAGGGGAGGAGCGGAGGGAGAAGCAGAAGCAGACTCATGATCTCAGCCGAAGGCAGACACTCAACCAACTGTATCTCATTGTTTTAATATAGATTTCTAGGCACCATTTTTAAGCTGGAGAAGAACTGGAAAATAGTGCTGTATTGATTTGTTTTCCCATTATTTGTTGTTTAGCTTGGTGTCGCTATGTCTGCAGTGCAGATGGGCACTTGGTAGAGTTCATCTTGGGCAGGCATATTCCATTCATATTTCTGTTCTCTTTGTTTCTGGGTGTCCTCGATTCAAGAGAATACTAAGATGCTTGTTTTAGGAATCTTTTCAGCTCTGTTTATTTTATAACTACTTGATGTCGACAGGCTACGGTGCAGAGTGCATTCCTGTGCTCCCCCATATGTGTCTTCCACGGGTTGGGTTCATTTATTCCCTTCGGTGACTGATGGAATCAGGCACTCATTTAGTCAGTCATTTGACATTTTCCTGAAGCCAGTCATGGGCTGGAAGTATACCAGGCATGGGGGATAGCGAGGCAGAAAAGACAGTCTCTGCAGTCCATTGAGGAACTCAAGAAGAGGAGAGAGACTGTAGAGCAGCTGGCAGCCCAAGTGCTACGAGGAAGGTGCGCTCCTCTGTGACCGAGAAGATCCCAGCATGTTCTCACAACTGACCCTTCATATCTGTGGGGAAAACTGTCAGCCCTTTCTTTGTCAGCCTAGACAATCCCAGACTTGAACACATTTGGGAAAGACATCTTAATTCCTTATAAGACACAGCAAGATGTTAACTGGAGCCATTCTTGATGGTTTTAGACAGGAACACTGTTTTATTATCCTCGCTGGGAGTTTTTAAGTGTTCACTTAGGTGTTTCAGGTAGTTTAAAAATGTTCATTTAGGGTGTTTTAGCCAATCAGAAGTTCTGTTATTACCATATACGTCTTATGGCAGAAGAAAAACAAGTGATGTAACATTTCTTTGGAATTTTAATGTAGAAACTGGATGAGCGAAAGAAATGGTTAGATGAAGAAGTAGAGAAAGTCCTGAACCAGCGCCAAGAACTGGAGCAGCTGGAAGAAGACTTAAAGAAGCGAGAGGCCATCGTTTGTAAGAAGGAGGCCCTGTTACAGGAGAAGAGCCACCTGGAAAATAAGAAGCTGAGATCAAGTCAGGTATTCTCTCTGCTATGCTCTTTGACTGTGGTTGTAAGCCAGTGAAGGAGGATTTTTTTCCTAAGAAGTAAAGCAGACCACTGTGAAATTCAAAACTGCAAGAAAATCTGTTCTGGTTTTCAGTGTATTTTGCATGTTAGTGCTTATTTAATGACCACTAAAATCTACCGCAATTTTAACATCAAATGTTCTGTGTTCTGCCAAGTATGATGTATTAACTTTTTTTGGCATTGAAAAATTATGGTAAAATATACGTAACATAAAATTTGCCATTTTGACCATTTTTAAGTGTATGATTCAGCGGCATTAATCATAGGTACAAGGTTATACAACCATCACCCTATTTCCAAAACATTTTATTACCCCAAATAGAAAGTCTGTAACCATGAAGCCGTAACTCTTCATTTCCCCTGGCAACCTCTTTTTAAGAAATAAGTTGTACCGTTTGATGCTGTACAGAGAACACTGGTAATTTGGAAAAATAGTCTTAAAAATGATCTAAACTACCCAAAGTTAGGGTTTGCAGGGTTCCTTTAGAAGAAAGACTTTATGTAATGAAGATTTGTTCATTTTTCAAATTATGATGAGGTGGGGGCCTTTACAAGAACTTTTACTGGAGAACTCGGGTTTTATGAGCCAAAAAAAGGGATTTTTATGAAGGAGTTTGCCTCAATTTCAAGTTCTGCAAAAGGAATGATTGTGGTGGGAGTAGAAGAACCAGGCAATAGCTTTTTTGGATGGAGCTGTAGATATTTTCAACAGCAGCACCAATGGCTTCTGAAAATGAAGCTGTCTTGCCCCAGACTTGAAAAGGACTTTTTACCCAGCAGGCCGAGGACACACTGAGTAATGGAACAGAGAGAATCAGTGACCTCCCTCTTTATTAGGTCTGCCTTTCAGCCAGTGTCTAGACCAGTAGGATCTGAGATGGTGGCGGCGTGTTCTTAACCTCCCCTCCTCAGTATAGCAGGTAGACGAGCATGGAGACCTGCATTTACCTCTTCCCCGTCCTTCATTCCCCAGTCATGTTCAATAGCTACTAGCACCAGGCTGTGGGACACAGGGGTAGGGACAGCCCCTCCAAGCAGCTTAGTTGCTGGTGCTGTATCCAGGTAGCTTGCTCACGCTGGCTGTCAGGGTCAAGTTTTAAGAGCTAGCCCTCAAAACATGTCAACGACAGCAAAGGAGATGAGCAAATCAAAATACCCACGTGAGTAAATAGAAGAAAATAAACTGGGACCTTTATTATATGTTCTGTATCACAAAAGAAATAAAAATGAAAAAATAAAAAGGAATAAGGAGGAAAATATTTTTCCTGAAATAAGTTTACTTCATGATCCAAGGGAAAAAAAACGGGAAGTTTTCCCCTTTCAACACAATGTAAAATTTAGGAGCAAGAACATACTGAGATAGGTAGAGACATACAAATAAATGAAACCCCCAAGCAGAACAAAGCGAAATTGATTCTTTGAAGATTGTTTTAATGAAACAGAAGAAAAATTGGAGACTATTATATTGCTGGGTTCTTTTCTGAACAAAATGTAAATAGATTACATCTTTTTTCAGTGTTTAAGAAATACAAGATTCAATCCTATGCATTTTGGACAAGGAATGTGATATTAAAAAATATTTTCATACCATATACAATTTCAACTCAAAATAAGTCAAAGACCTAAATGTAAAATAAAACTATAAAACTCTTAGAAGAAAACAAAGGTGTAAATCTTTGTGACCTTGGGTTAAGCAGTGATTTCTTTGATATTACACCTGAAGCACAAGCAATAAAAGAAATATTAGATAAATTGGTCTTAGTCATAATTAAAAACATTTGTTATGCAAAGGCCACCATCAAGAAAGTGGGTGTTGAAAAGACAACCCACAGAATGGGAGAAAATATTTGCAAATCATGTACCTGATAAAGGTCTTGTATCTAGAATATATAAAGAAGTCTTAAAAATAAAAAGACAACTGAGTTAAAAAGTGGACAAAGGATCTAATAGACATTTCTCGAAAAAGAGATTCAAATGGCCGATAAACATGAAAGGATGCTCAACATCACTAGCCATCAGGGAAATGCAAATCAAAACATAGATGCGCTCCTACTTTACACTTACAGGGCAGCTGTGGGGATGCCTGGGTGGCTCAGTGGGTTAAGCCTCTGCCTCCGGCTCAGGTCATGATCTCAGGGTCCTGGGATCAAGTCCCTCATCGGACTCTCTGCTCAGCGGGGAGCCTGCTTCCCCCATGTCTCTCGCTCTGCCTGCTTCTCTGCCTACTTGTGATCTCTGTCAAAGGAATAAATAAAAATCCTTAAAAATTTTTTAAAAAATTAAAAAAAAAATAGGACGGCTGTGGTCAGAAAACTAGATGAGAAGTGTTGGTGATGATATGAAGGAATTGGACTTTTCCTACGCTGCCTGTGGGATTGGTGCAGTTGCCTGGGATGACCATCTTGTAGTTCCTCAAAAGGTTAAACATAGAGTTACTGCACCACCCAGCGGTGCCACTCCTAGTATCCATCTAAGAGAAGTGAAAACACGTGTCCACACAATAACCTGTGCATGAATGTGCATTACAGCATTACTCATAATAGACCCCAAATGGAAAAAACTCAAATGTCCATCAGCTGATGAATGGATAAACAGAAAGCGATATATCCATACCGTGGGATATTACTCAGCAAGAGAAAGGAATGAAGTTCTGATCCATGCTATCACATGGATGAACCCCAAAATGTTGTGTTAAGGGAAAGGTGCCAGCCACAAAAGAACACGGATTGTATGACTCCATTTATATCAATGTGCAGATGAGGCAATTCCATAGAGACAGAAAGTAGAGTAGTGGTTATTTAGGGCTGGGCTGTGGGTTGGGAAGAAAGGAATGACTGCGAATGGGCATGGGGTTTCATTTTTGGAGAGGGTGAAAACGTTCTAAAATTGATTGTGGTGATGGTTGTGCAACGCTGAATATACTAAAAACCATTGAATTATACACTTTAAATAGGTGAGTTAGGGGCTCCTGGCTGGCTCCATTGGTGGAATATATGACTCTTGATCTTGGGGTTGTGAGTTTGAGCCCCACATTGGGTATAGAGATTACTTAAAAAATAGAAAATCTTGATCAATAAAATAGTTGAACTCTATGATATGTGACTTATCTCTCAATAAAGCTATTAGGCAAAAACTATATATCCGTAAAGGGAAAAAAAAAAGATAAGACAACAGAAGACAAAAGATTACCAAGAAATATAAAATGGAAAGCAACAAATAAGTAGTTACTGAAATAGCAAAGAGGCTGCAATCCAGGCACCTTGAGAGGGACATCTGTGAGAGCCATAGCTGTAGCATTAGCCTTTTTTTTTTTTAAGATAATAACACCTTTATAATATAGAATTCACATAGATAAAATTAAAAGAGACTCAGAGATGCACCTGGTGGCTCAGTTCATTAAGCGTCTGACTCTCTGATTTCCACTCAGGTCGTGATCTCAAAGTCTCGAGATTGAGCCCCATGTGGGGCCTGGGATTCTCTCTCCCTCTCCCTCTGCCCCCCCACCTCCACCGCCTCTGCTCATGCACATGTTCTCTCCATTTAAATAAATAAATTAAGTAAAATCTTAAAAAAAAAAAAAAAGACTCAGAAATGAAGGTACTGAGATTTTCAGAAGGTAGGGGTGAGGCATAAGGATGAAAACAGAGAGTCATCAGGAAGTCATTCTTTCCCACTCTGAATCTAGACAGTTTATCTTCTGAATGTTGAACCAGGTACCACAGAGGTTTGGGTAAATCAGAATACTCAGCAGGGAACAAATGAAAGTCCAGTCTACATACGAATCCTGAGACAGCCATTTCCTAACCCTACTTGGATCCCAGAATGCTGGCACCCAGATTTATACCTCCCAAGCGGGACATTGGTGGATTTTCTGAAACAGTCCCTGAAAAAAAGGCCTACAAACACCAAACACCCTAGGACACCCCCAACTAAGTGGCCAGACCCCAGATATACACTATGGTGACAAAGCATACCCACCACATAGGATATCAGCATTTTCATACCTGACTCTTACATGGGACAGCCATTTCAGGAATGTTACTAACATGAAAGACAGAGACTGAGAAAAAAAGAAGCTCAGAGACATTAGAGCTAGGCGAAGGAGCTGAAAAAGCTTCCAGCAAATCCTTAATATTTGTCAAGGTGGTGAAAGGTGATGCTCTATCCATAAAATGGGAACTGCTGGAAATTTTAAAGGTTGGAGGAGAACATTGAGGAGATATCCCAGAAAGTAAATAAAAGGATAAATAGAAAATGGGAAAAAAAATTAGTTGGCAGATAAATCTGGAAAGTCCAACATCCAAGAAATAGGAATTTTGGAAAGATATAACAGAGAAAATGGGAGAGGGGATTATCAAAGACAATATAAAAATTTTTCCCAACTCTGAGGACATGAGACTCTAGATTGAAATAGGTCAGCAAGGGCCTGACAAAATGAGTGCCAAAGGTTTATCATTGTGAAGTTTTGAGTACACTAAGGAAAAAAAAATATCCCAAAAGCTACCAAATGGAAGAGATGAGTCACTTGCAAATCTCAACAATCAGAATGGCACTGGATTTCTTTACCTTCTTCAGTAGAAGCTAAGGGACTTGCAGCCGTCTTCAAACTGCAGAATGAAAGTGATTTCCAATCAAGGCTTCTCTCTTGAGCCTAACTCTGAATCAAGTATGAAGGCAGAATAAGGACATTTTCAGGTGAAAAAATGATTTCCAACCTAGTCTCTCAGGAAAATACTAGAGGACGTGCTCCACAAACGTGAGGGTATCAGCTATGAAGAAAGAAGACTCAGGGTCCTGAAAGTGTGATCCAACGTGGAAATTCCCGGGGTAGCACCGAAAGGAGGTCCTAGAACAACCAGTTTGGACGAAGAGGATGGAGACTTCAGACAAAATGCTTCCAGAAAAGTGTGAAACAAACAGACTCCCTGATTTAAGTTTGGTCAAGTGAAAAAGACAGTATTGAGAGGAAGTGTATTTTCTTTTAGGGGAAGAATCAGTAAATGGTACCAAAAGTTGTATCCTATGGAAAAGGGTCATTTTATACTAGATAGTTCAGCTGTGAGTAGTATTCACAAAGCCATGTAAACTGAGTATTGATTTATTTTTAAAGATTCTACTCATTTATTTGAGAGAGTCAGTGAGCGAGATAGAGCACAAGTTGGGGGAGGGGCAGAAGGAGAGAGAATGAAGCAGGCTCTCTGCTGAGCGGGGAGCCTGATGCGGGGCTCCATCCCAGGACCCTGGGATCATGACCTGAGCCGAAGGCAGATGCTTAATCTATTGAACCAACTGGGTGTCCCAACAGAGTATTGATTTAACATAAAATTGCAATATACCTTATTTTGGGAGACTAGAGGAGTGGGAAGTAGAGGAAGCATAATGGTGCCAAGTCTTTGTCTTCCATAATAGTCAGTCCATAGACAATATCTGAAATGGGTCATGTTATTTAGGAACGTGGACATTAACACCAGGAGAAACGGCTAGAAAGGTTGAAGATGATTGCTTCTGGGGAGTGGGACTCAGGTAAAAGGGTGAGGTAAGGGGCTGCTTTAAAAAAAATAATAGTAAACTTGTGGTATTGGAGGGGGAGACAAACCATGAGAGACTGTGGACTCTGAGAGACAAACTGAGGGTTTTGGAGGGGCGGGGGTGGGAAGTTGGGTGAGCCTGGTGGTGGGTATTAAGGGGGGCACGTATTGCATGGAGCACTGGGTATGGTGCATGAATAATGAATTTTGGGACACTGAAAAAAATTAAATTAAAAAAATTTATAATTTTTAATTATATATACATATAATTACTTAGATGCAAAACTATTTTTAAAATTCTCTTAGGTTAGACCATAATGAGACTCTCCATTACTGTAACTGGCCATATTTTCTGACCAGAATGAAATAAGAATAGAAACAAAATACATATTTAAGCAGCGACAAACCAAATCTCAACCTTTAGGGAAATTATAATATAGTTATAAGCCATAAAACCATGTAACAGACCAAGGAAGGAAAGTTTAATTTAGGAGATAATAAAAAACAAAAATACTACCTCTCAAAACCAATATTCTGTAGTCTGTTGTGGCCAAGCAATGCCTGGCAATAAATTCAACATTTAAATCTCTCTCTTTTTTTGGGGGGGGGGCAAGAGAATATGAATGGAGTGCAGGAGGGAGGAGAGAGGCAGAGAGAGAATTTCAAGCAGGCTTCACGCTCACGTAGAACCTGACATGGGACTTGATCTTACTACCCTGAGATCATGACCTGAGCCGAAATCAAGAGTCACACGCTTAACTGATTATGCCACCCAGGTGCCCCTTGAATCTCTATTTTTTTTTAAGGTTTTTTTTTTAAATTTTTTGTTTTTTGTTTTTTTTTTTGGTCAGAGAGAGAGATCACACAAGCAGTGGGAGCTGCAGGCAGAGGGAGAAGCAGGCTCCCCTCTGAGCAGAGAGCCTGATGTGGGACTCGATACCAGAACCCTGGGATCATAACCTGAGCCGAAGGCAGATGCTGAACAGACTGTGCCACCCAGGCATTCCCAATCTCCATTAAAAAAAAAAAAGGCATTCAACTTAAGATTTTAGAAAATGAACCCTGCCCCTCAACAAAAACCCCACGAAAAAACAACACTGTGGGAGCTAAAAATATACTCAGTTAATAATTTTCTCTATTTTTCTAGCTTGTATGCTGCCTGAATTTCAAATAACTGTTTTTGGGGTGTTTGGTTGATTGTGTCTTTTAGGTCTTAAGCACAGATAGTTTGAAAATATCAACTCGCCTGAATTTGTTGGACCAAGAGTTGTCTGAAAAGAATGTAGAGCTTCAACACAGCACAGCTGAGGAGAAAATAAAGATTTCAGAACGAGTTCAAGCCCTCCAGAAAGAAAAGGATCAGCTACAGAGACGAAGGAACAGCGTGGATGAGAAACTTAAAAATGGTAGTGTGTTATCACCTGAAGTAAGTCAGTATGCTTTAGAACTGGAAGTGCTCTATGATGGGTCACTTGAATGATTTCCTTTGTCTCTGTTAACTTAAACATAAAAATGAGAAATCTGATAAACTCTGTTTCCTTGAGACTTTGTCAAATGTAATGAGTTTACGGGGCTCCTATTTGATGCCATAAGCCATGCTTGACTAGAGACTGTGATACCCTTACAAACAGGTCCATGACGTGGCCCCTTTCTGGCATTGCCAGGGACTGGGACACTAACACTTCTCTTCGAGTAGGACCTTTCTCAGCTGGGGTTTGTCACCTGACATCACAGAATATAGAAGATGATTCGAAGGGAATCTTTTCCTCAGTTCTTTTAAAGAGAGCACCTACCTCCTCTCTCTGCTTCTTTCTCGAACAATCCTCGGTAACCTGTCTCTTACTGTGGATGGCTAGGGCACTAATGGTTAATTCTTCCAGAAAGTCCCAACTTTTGAGAGAATGTTCCAGCCAGTAGATGCATGGAATTCAAATCCCAATAAAAATAGCTTTTTAAAATCTATCTGTAACTGATAATTTATCCGTTTATTGAACACTACATCTGAAACAAATGATGTACTATAAGTTGGCTAATTGAATTTAGATAAAAAAAAGAAAAAATATAAAAACAACATAAAAATCTAAAAAAATACCTCTGAGTGTGAGTCTTCATTTATGAGGAACATATGGCTCCTCTCACCTTTCTTTTTTAAAACTATGTAAAAATATATTTATGGTTGTGAAATTCCCCCAGACTGCCTATTTTCAAAATTTTACATCAGTTGGCAGTCCCGTCCCTTACTTTATCAGGCAGTATGAATTTTTGAGCCTGAATTTTCTCTGCAAATGTTTATTGTTGATGTCCTGTCATGATCAAAGCAAGAAAAAAATTGCTAAGAGAAAGTGAGTAGTTGGGAAGCAAGAAAAAATTGCTAAGAGAAAGTGAGTAGTTGGGAATCCCATACCTTGCTGAATCTTGTATAGTGTTAGAATGGAGCAAGCCGAAGAGACTGTTAAGGGGGCTGGTTAAGAAGGAACAGGAGCGGGGCACCTGGGTGGCTCAGTGGGTTAAAGCCTCTGCCTTCGGCTCGGGTCATGATCTCAGGGTCCTGGGATCGAGCCCTACATTGGGCTCTCTGCTCGGGGGGAGCCTGCTTCCCCCCCCCCCCGCCTACTTGTGATCTCTCTTTCTGTCAAATAAATAAATAAACTCTTAAAAAAAAAGGAGGAACAGGAGCAAGGGTTTCATAAAAAGATTGTTGTTCACTGCATGGATGAAAGAAATTGAAGACTGGATCGGGGGTAAGGTGGCATCATAAACCTCATTGCCCTGTTTTATAGTCTGAGTTTGTGCATAGGATCACAGAATCAGACTGTCCTCCCGAGGGTGTTAAATTAGAGCCTGGCCTTGTAGATTTGAGGGTTGTAAGATCCTTAAATAGTGCAAAGTAGGAATATTTAAGGAATTCTTGCCTGCCCAGGACTATTACTGGGCCCTATGAAAGAAACCAAAGAAACTATAAAAAGCATTATGCTTCCTTTGAGAAATTCATACTCTCTCTGGGGAAAAGTGACAGATACAAGAAAACTCTATACCCTGAAGAACATTTAAAAAAGCAAGTGATAATAATATACTAAAACTATACTTGTTACATTATTTATACAAAATGATGCAGTGGTCATTTGCGGGGAAGATTCATTGAGGCAGCTTTGGTAGCTTGGAATCTCGAGCTGTATTATGAAAACCATGATACTGGTAGATATAAGAAAGAAGGACTTTGTAGCTAGAACACCATTAAATAAGGCATGGAGAAGGGAATGAGCAAATGATGTTTGCAGAAGGGTAGAGGGCCCGTTGTCTTCAAGAAACATTGACTTTTCTGTTTCACGTGGAATTCTGTGACTACAAATCATGATGTAGGGTTTGTGGTGAAAACCATGCATAATACCTGTTTAGCATCTCATCTGGGACTAGTTCAAGGGAATGATGAGCCCCCTGCCACGGTGGGGTTCTGGCAGCCATGTGAGCTTCTGCGCAGCCTCCTTCCACAGGGCTGGTTCTTCTGAGCACCACTCCGAGGTGGGCTCTGCTCTCACCACTGTTTCCTTAAAGCCAAGATTACTCTTACTGGATAGATCTGCCAGTGACCGATGATCGGCCACGTGAGATTCTGATGTGACACAAGACATCAGTAACATCTGGGCGGAACAGTCTGCTGCTTCTATCTCTTTTAACTAGTTTAGGATTACTTTCTCTTTCCAAAATAAATTAAATCATTTTCATAATCATACTGCTTAATGAGAAGGGACTGATTTTAGATCACTGTACTAGTACAGGATAACCCAACAGTTTAATACAGACAAATACTTACTTTTTTGGGAAAACTCCATAAAGAAATAAAAAAAAAAAAACCCACAAAACTTCTGGCTCCATTTTTCTAATGCAGAGCAAGTTGCTCAGTAAGTGGGATATAGGAAGAAAACATAAGAACTATTACATCTATGTTTATTTCATCTAATCCACTTTCAATTTCATGTTTTAGCATTAGAACATGCATGTAATTTATGGAGAAATATACAAATATGCAGGGTTTTCTTAAAAGGTTTTGCTTTGTTTGCTTGTTTGTTTGTTTGTTTGTTTTACTGATAGGGATGTGTGACCTAAACTGTTGGGAGACCTGAGTTAGGTCCTTGTTGCTCACAGTGTGAGGTCTCTATCAACAGCAGGAGCCTCAGGGCCGGGGGTGGGGGGTGGAGGGGGGTGGGGGGGTGGGGAGGGTGAGCCCATCCAGACCTGCTGAATGAGAAATCTGCATTTTAACAAGATCCCTGGTGCCTGTGTGAAAAACAGTGCTCTCTCATTAAGCATAGTCAACCCCATAATCTGTAGTTTGTCATGGGGCAAATTTTTCATCCTGGGCCAGTTTCTTATTGCCGTTCGTAGTACTTCCCTAACTTAGGTCCAAAACTATAGAAACTAAATTTCTGCTAAATTGTTCTCAGACATATATAAAGGCAAACTCTTTCCACATTTGTTTTTGGCAAAATATCATAGTATGCATTATTCAGAAGTCAAATATATTCTTTGGATAATCCACTTTTATTTTCCGGTTCCTCTTACCCATTCACCGATGTATCTTTCAGGGCTTAAGTTTGTCTTTCTTAAAAAGTTGAATATTATTTTCTTCCAGATGGAGTGATGATCAAATCATCAAATTCTTGATGATTAGTGATTGCCCAGAGAAACAAAATGGCCGTTAAATATATTTTTTCAAAATGGCTCTTTCAGAAGATTTTTATAAAGTGGCTTTTATTTTTTTTTTAAGATTTTACTTATTTATCTGACAGAGAGAGATCACAAGTAGGCAGCGAGGCAGGCAGAGAGAATGGGGAAGCCGACTCCCCGCCGAGCAGAGAGCCCGATGCGGGGCTCAATCCCAGGACCCTGAGATCACGACCTGAGCCGAAGGCAGAGCCTTAACCCACTGAGCCACCCAGGCACCCCATAAAGTGGCTTTTAAAAATAAGTATTATTCAACCTCCCACTGGAATAGGTTATTACATACCTTTTCCCTGAATTCCAAAACAGGAGTTCTGGAAGTCACATTAACTATTCTTTAGGTAGATCGGAAATATTAACCTTCTTTTCCTTTGAAGTGCTGGAGGAAGGAGTGGAGAGAAATATTTGGGTCATCTAATCAGACATATGAAAATATCTTTTTCTCCTTTTCCCTCATAAACCCATTCAGCAGATACTTAATTGAGTTTAAACTGTGTGATATACACTGTACTAGGCAGTAAGGACATGAGTATGGACAAGATGGTCTGCCATAAAGGAACCTAAAGTCGTGGTGGCCTCCACCACACATATAGGTAATACAGAAATATCTACCCAAGTCTCACTGGGTCTGAAATAATTTCTTACTAGAAATTTGAATACCCTCAAATAAGATGTTCGGATAGTTCAAAGAACTGCTAGGTTTTCTGACAGGGATTCATCAAGGTTTTTTTGGTTGTTTTTGTTTGTTTGTTTGAGGTTTTTTGGTCCCCTACAAAGGAAATCTTCTCTAGCTTATGAAAAAAGTGTTCCATCATCCACATTTTTAACGCCTTTGTTTGCCCGTTAATGGCATCTCATAGGAATTTTTTGAAATGTTTCATGTCCTTAGATCCTCCCTACTTTTTTTTAATGTCATACTCTTTTTTCCCTAGAGACCCTCTTTTGATGACTCATTCTTAATAATTTATTAAAAGTCTATTTCTTCTTTCCCTCCTGGGAGTCTATCGTTTCGATAGATCCCTGAGGGGACACTGGGAGTGTCCAGATCTAACACATACTGTGCACTTGAGGAGCTGTGGAGGGGAGATACATGGCTCTAGTCCTGGTCCTGGGGGCTGAGGCTTTGTTCAAGTGTGTTCCTTGGTTATCCGCATTTGCTGTGTGACCTTGGGATCTTTCATACATGAGGTTTAGTATGAGGATTCAGTGACTGTATGTTTTATATATGTGTGTGTACACACTCAATAGGCATTTTCTTCAGATTTAGTAGACAAATGGGAAGTCCGTTAGACTCAGATAGCAGAGTGAGATCTTAGTGTATGACATGAAGTCCAAGTTAATTATCTCCTTTACAATGAGTGATTTCTATTTTATCTAGGAAGAACATGTTCTTTTCCAACTTGAAGAAGGGATTGAAGCTTTGGAAGCTGCAATTGAATACAAGAATGAAAGTATCCAGAGTCGCCAGAACTCGCTCAGAGCCTCACTCCAAAACCTCTCTCGTAGTGAAGCAAAGGTCTTGGAAAAACTCATTTGCCTGAGTCCTGTAGAGATGAGAGCTATTCTTTTCAGATATTTCAATAAGGTTTGTTTCGGAAGGACGGAGGATTTTCTTGTACGGGGGCCAAGGTGGATGGTTACATATGTCAGGTTTCAGAAATTGAAAGGCCTAAAGCTTTGATGGTGTAACTACAGATTTAAGCGTGATTTCTCCTCGCACTACTGAATGTGGTTGTCTGAGAGGTGTGTGCTTATCCAAGTATGCATGCCTCACTTTGGGAGGTTCTTAACGTGGGATGGGCCTTTTGAAAGAAGGGCTTTTTCAAATAGGCTTAAAAACCCAAGAATTCAAATTGTATTCCTCATTCACTATTTCTTGGATATTTTCAAGACTTGGTTGTTGCTACTCAGCATTCATGAAAAATCAAGGTCCCTCCAAAATCAGGCTTCCTTTCCCTCATTGCTATAGGGTCGGGTTACGTGTATTTTATCATCATACCTATGAATTGAAATGAAAATGAAGTGGTGCATCAGTGGCAAAGATAATAATAGATTTTCACATTAACCTGAATAATGTCTTCTCTTAAGGCATATATTATGAAGTGTCAAGCAAATAATAGCTCTTTTCTCTGAAAGGTATCTTCGGTTTAAGGGAGTATCAGACCATTAATGAAAAATAAAACATTGGAGTTTGAAAATAAAGTTCCAGTTCTGTTAGACAAGTGAAATAAAGATGAAGAAATGAATGGAAATGTTAGGCACAGCCCTCCTCTTGGGTAATGACTGTCAGTAGTGAGCTACTATTATTGATAAGAGTGCATCCCATCACGGCATGTGTGGAGGGCAGAAAAAATGGTGCGGTGCTGTTGGAAGCTTTGATAGAATTCTTTTCTGGTGTTCTTAGAGAAAAGGTTCTTAACCCAAACCACGCAGGCCAAGGTCAGTGGATTTTCTGACCCTGGGTACCCTTTGTAGAAATGAGTATTTTTCTAGAGAGAAGTACATTAGCAAGTTTTGTGACACATACATCAAAGTGTATTCACTCCATAGCCATGCAGAGAAGAACCCATTGCACTAAATGTACAATCTGAGACTGAACTCCATATAGTTTTAAAAAGTCTGTTACTTATTTATAACATGCATTTTGGAGTTAACACTGGGCGGTATCTAGATGTTACAAGAGTCTCTAAGTTCCCATTCTCTCTCTTTTTCCCCATTCTCTTCTTAAGACCAAAGAAATGGATTTAGATGATTGTCACTGCAAATTGCAACGACCATGACTGAGAGATGATGGAGGGGTGATAGTTAGAGCCACATGATATTAAAAGTAAAGTTGTTACCAGTTCAGAATCCCAGCAAACTCAAATAGGCTCTTAGGTTATTTTATTGGGTATGTTACAGAGCATTTGCTTAGTTACACCACAGTGGCTAAGGAAGTTGTTCATGTAGCCTAAGAGAAGTAGGCTATTACAAGGCTATGGAAGACACACTTAGAAGGTCAAAAAATGTCTTTGCTAGGTGGTCCATTTGCGAGAAACCGAACGGAAGCTCCAGTTACAGAATGAAGAAATGAAAATGAAGGTTCTGGAACGGGATAATATGGTTCGTGAACTGGAGTCTGCCCTTGAGCATCTGAAACTACAGTGTGACCGGAGACTGACCCTTCAGCAGAAGGAGCATGAGCAAAAAATGCAGCTGCTGTTACAGCATTTCCAAGGTACTGCCCCTTCTGGTCCGCTGCAGAAAGGCTGTGTGTCGGAGGGGCTGGGAGGGGAAGCCAGGAACAGAAGCTTGTCACATAATAAATAGTTCCTACTTATATTTGGTTTCGAGCTTCACGTGTCTGGGTTCCTGAAAGTGGGGAGAGGGGACTGGGATGTAGGGCTCTTGGTGCTTGAAATGCCCTCCCTCTGTCTGTCCCCAGGGCCACACATAAGAACTCCCACCCATCTGTTGTTGATCTCGTTTTTATGTACAACTGCGGCAATCCTGGCTTCTGGTGTACAGTTGAAAAGTGTCTCTCTCTCTCAAGGAGGGAGTACTTTGATATTTAAATTACTTTCCCTTTACATAATTAACGTGATAGGCACCCCGTCAGATTTCTAGTTATATTTCTTGTTATAATTTTCAGTTGATTGTAAATTTGATGCATAAAGGTTATATCTTAGGTCAAAATTAGCCTACCACCATTGGACACGTACTGTTTTCAGTGCACAGTAGTTCAGCCGTCAGCTCTGGTGTGGCAAGAGCTGTCACAGGAGTTGGTCCTCATGTTACCTGGGCATTTGGCCAGTACACAAAGGGTTGCTATGGCAACAAACCCCCTGCCTGGCAGCACTGGTAATGCTTCCGTCCAGGCTGCTTAGCTGCTTAGCCTTGATTCTTATGAATCTATAGCTGGAAACGGGTTAGAAAGGATCTGGAGAAACAATCTGAGTAAGCAGAAAATTGGAAAATATATAAATTTGAGTGTTGAGGCAATTTGCCCCTAAGTTAATTCAATAACCAGTCGATTAACAACCAGTTGCCTGATGACAGGATCCTACATCTCGCTTCATTCAAACATGCTCTCCTTTCCTTATTTTTAGTTCTATCTTAACGTCTCTATAAAGTGATATTTTCATAGACTTTTTCATGTGTTTTTCAAGTGATTGGTATTGTACCACAAAAGGTCATGCTATAGCCAAATGAGGACTTTTTAAAAAATCATTTATTTCTATACCTGGGATTAGTTTTTCTAACAAAGTTGTAGCTAAAAATGATAATTTATGAACTTTGTAATTTCAACTGACTATGTTGTATAAAATTCAGTTGACATAGATGATATTCTTTTTTTTTTTTTAAGATTTTATTTATTTATTTGACAGAGCAAGAGATCACAAGTAGGCAGAGAGAGAGGGAGAAGCAGGCTCCCTGCTGAGCAGAGAGCCTGAAGTGGAGCTCAGTCCCAGGACCCTGAGATCATGACCTGAGCTGAAGGCAGAGGCTTAACCACTGAGCAACCCAGGCACCCTGACATACATTATATTCTTTATGAGGATTCTGATTTATGGTGTTATTAAAGTATTTATTTATTTTTTAAAGATTTATTTATTTTAGAGAGAAGAGACAGAGTTTGGTGGGGAGGGACAGAATAAGAGGCAGAAAACTCAAGAAAACTCGCCACTGAGCGCAGAGCCCAACACAGGGCTTGATCCCACAACCCTGAGATCATGACCTAGCCAAAATCAAGAGCCTGATGCTTAACTGATTGAGCCACTCATGCACCCCTTAAAGTTTCATTTTTAAATACAAGATAATGGGGGGGGCACCTAGGTGGCTCAGTGGGTTAAGCCTCTGCCTTCGGCTCAGGTCATGATCTCAGGGTCCTGGGATCGAGCCCCACATCGGGCTCTCTGCTCAGTAGGGATCCTGCTTCCCCTCTCTCTCTGCCTGCCTCTCTGCCTACTTGTGATCTCTCTCTGTGTCAAATAAATAAATAAAATATTAAAAATAAAACAGATAATGGGTTAATTTAGAATATCCAATATACTTAGATCAAATTTTTCAAAACAGCCAGTTACAAAAAAACAACATTAAAACCAGTAGGATCATGTTATATGCAATTAACGAATCATTAAGCTACATAAAAACTAATGATGTACTATAGATTGGCTAATTGAATTTAAATAAATAAAAAATTAAAAATTAAAAAAAAAACCCAGTAGGATCATCTTATAAATATACCGATAGGAAAGAATAGGTCTAAGAGTATGTATTTGCAGAAGGTCAATAAACTAGGTTTTACCGGTTCTAAAACATACCCAATAGGGACAGTTTTATAGATTCATAAATACTAAGTAGAAGCTTTAAGTTATATTGTAGCAAAAGCTACAACTTATTGCTGTTTCCCGTCTTTTTTGTATGGGTGTTTTCTTTTGTAATTTAATCTCTCTAGCCTCTTTTGGCAGGTTTTTGGTTTTTGGGGTTTTTTGGCTATAGATTTCTTGGGCTTATAAACCTGGGCCTCTGATTTTCTATATATCCACATTTCCTGATATGAACTTTATTTTTTTATTTTTTACTTTTAAGATTTTATTTATTTGACAGAGTGAGAGTGTGTGAGCACAGAGAGGGGGAACTGCAGAGGGAGAGGGAGAAGCAGGCTCCCCCTGAGCAGGAAGCCTGATGTGGGACTTGATTCTGGGACCCTTGGATCATGACCTGAGCTGAAGGCAGATGCGTAATCGACTGAGCCACCCAGGTGCCCCCGATATGAACTTTAAATAAGATATTGATGCAACTGATAGAGTTCCAAACGTGAATTTTTTATAGGGAACACCTTATTTCTGCTGTTTCAAGGACAAATCTAGTTACTGTTATTCAAAAAGTGCTTATGAATCATGAAGATGCGGTAGTTGGTAGGGGGTTGGACGGAGACGGTGACTAAAGGCAGAAGAATCAAAACTGTATCTGAAAGCAAATCCATTCAGGTAACAGATACATGTAACATAATTCTGACCCTTTAAATACAATCTGGAGACTGTGTTAGAACATAATTTTTAGTCATTTAGCTTAAACTGATTTTAAATACAAATCTCTGTTTCATAGAGCAAGATGGTGAAGGCCTTATGGAAATGTTAAAAACATATGAAGATAAAATCCAGCAGCTGGAAAAAGATCTTTATTTCTATAAGAAAACCAGCAGAGATCTTAAGAAGAAACTTAAGGAACTGGTAGGGGAAGCAGTTCGGCGGCAACTAGCAGCATCTGAACGTAAGACTTTTCATGTCACTTGTCATGCTAACAGTATGTGATGTAGCTAATATTCGGTGAAGTTGTACCTGCCTTAACAGTTTAGCCTTTCCCAATTGATATGGTTATTTAGAATTAGATATTGAACTTGTATTTGTCTCTGTAAACAAAAATAGTTGTCTAGTCCTAATCACCAGGGAAATGCAAATCAAAACCACAATGTGATATCACCTCCCACCTGTCAGAATGGCTGAAACCAACAACACAGGAAAAACCAAGTGTTGGCGAGGATGTGGAGAAAAAGGAGCCCTTGTGCACTGTCGGTGGGAATGCAAACTGGTGTAGCCACTCTGGAAAACAGTATGGAGGATCCTCAGATTAAAAACAGAATTATTGTTGGGGTGCCTGGGTGGCTCAGTGGGTTGAGCCTCTGCCTTCGGCTCAGGTCATGATCTCAGGGTCCTGGGATCAAGCCCCGCATCGGGCTCTCTGCTTGGTGGGGAGCCTGCTTCCTCCTCTCTCTCTCTGCCTGCCTCTCTGCCTGCTTGTGATCTCTGTCTGTCAAATAAATAAAATCTTAAAAAAACAAAAAACAGAATTACTGTATGGTTCAGTAATTCCACTACTGGGTGTTTACCCAAAGAATATGAAAACACTAATTTGAAAAGATAGGAGCATCCCTATGTTTATTGTAGCATTATTTACAACAGCCAAATTATGGAACAACCCAAATGTCTGATGGATGAATGGGTAAAGAAAATGTGGTGTATACATACAATGGAATATTAATTCAGCCATAAAGAGAATGAAACCTTGCCATTTGCAAGGACAGGGATGGATCTAGAGGTTATAATGCTAAGTGAAGTCAGAGAAAGACAAATACCATATGATCTCACTCCTAAGTGGAATATAAGAAACAAAACAAATTTGGTTTGATTTGGTTGTTTAGAATTAGAGATTGAACTTGTGTTTGTCTCTATAAACCAAAAAAAATACTTGTCTGCCTGACCCTGACCCTAAAACATGACATAACTAAATGAGAAAGTGCCATGATTAAAATACACCCTTTTGAAGTCTCCCAGTTAGAGAAGAATCGATATTTCTAGAGTAACATATTTTACATTTTTTCAAAGATTTTATTTATTTATTTGAGAGAGAGAGGGGGAGAGAGTACAAGCAGGGAGGAAGGGTGGAGAGAGGGGGAGCAGGCTCCCTGCTGAGCAGGGAGCACAAAGCAGGGCTTCATCCCAGGACCCTGCGATCATAATCTGACCCTGAAGGCAGACAAATAACAATCTGAGCCACCGAGGAGTCCTAATATATTTTACATTTTATAAAAGAATTAGCCTGCCTTTAGAGAAGTTATTCTACTAAGTCAAATATGGCTTATGCATAGTTGACTTTACAACCTTTTAGGAACACAGACCTATTCTGTATCCGTAAAGAAGACCACTTAAAGATGGATACAACAAGATTGTAGAGAGACCAGTGGAAACTATATCTATGCATAATGAAAAGATACATGCTGAATATATAATGTAAGCAGAATTAACATAGCTTTAAAGTTTAAAACAGTAATATCTTAGAAAAGTAGGTTTGTTTGTTTTTTTTAAGATTTTATTTATTTATTTATTTATTTGACAGGGAGAGACACAGCGAGAGAGGGAACACAGCAGGGGGAGTGGGAGAGGGAGAAGCAGGCTTCCAGCCGAGCAGGGAGCCTGATGCGGAGCTTGATCCCAGGACCTTGGGATCATGACCTGAGCTGAAGGCAGAGGCTTGATGACTGAGCCACCCAGGCGCCCCTAGAAAAGTAGTTCTAATGCTACCTTATGGTTATGATATTTGTAATTTATAGTTATTTTCACAAGTAGTTAGGTGGGTCAGTGTCAGCTAATGCCATTTTCAAAAAAAAGAATTGAAACCTAGGTCAAGTAACTTAAAAACACAACAGTAATTAGAACATGGCCTCAGGTCCTTCATCTTACGATTCCTGGTTTAACATTCTACAATAAAAGTTGTCTTAGGACAGAGATGTGACACAGACAGATCCTGCCAGAGAGACTACATTTTCTGATTTTCAATGTAGTAATGCAGAGGTACTAATGTAACTAGAATATTTACTTGAAATACTGCCTGCATTATATAGCTGCACCTTTTACTTGAAACAGGACTTACAAAAAATTAAAAAGTAAACAAACATTAACAGAACAATGAGCATAAGACCAATTTAGGGGCGCCTGGGTGGCTCAGTGGGTTAAAGCCTCTGCATTCAGCTCAGGTCATGATTTCAGGGTCCCGGGATTGAGCCCCGCGTTGGGCTCTCTGCTCAGCAGGGAGCCTGCTTCCTCCTCTCTCTGCCTGCCTCTCTGCCTACTTGTGATCTCTCTCTCTCTCTCTGTCAAATAAATAAGTAAAATCTTTATTAAAAAAAAGAGACCATTTTAGCTTTAAAAAATCCACTTTCAAACTTGAGACATCTAAAATTAGATACCTAGTTTTTTTTTTTTTAAAGATTTTATTTATTTATTTGACAGGCAGAGATCACAAGTAGGCAGAGAGGCAGGCAGGGGAGGGGGGAAGCAGGCTCCCTGCTGAGCGGAGAACCCAATGCAGGGCTCGATCCCAGGACCCTGAGATCATGACCTGAGCCGAAGGCAGAGGCTTTAACCCACTGAGCCACCCAGGCACCCAATACCTAGTGTTTAAGTGGCCCATGTTTATATTGCGAGTCAACTAGACATCTTTTAAAATGCCAGTGTGGTGTGGGGATATAGAGGTTTCACCCTCGTTGTGCACCTTCATCCTGCTCTTTAATGAGACAAATGCAGAAAACTGAAAAAGTTAAGTAATCTTGGAGTTACATAAAGTTCTGAATCTGTCTGACTAACTTACTTGGGAATCTAGTCTTGTTTGTTTTTAAGTGAACTCTGCCACCAACATGGGCCTCAAACTCACAACCCCAAGATCAAGAGTTGCATGCTCTACTGACTAAACCAGCCAGGGGCCCCAGGAAATCTAGTTTTGATACTAATGTTGAGGATACTATTTCAGCTAGCTTGCTATCCCACCTCTACACATCTATAAAAAGAAGAAAAGTAATAGTCATCATAGGAAAATTTGAAAATATAGAAAAAGAGCTGGAAAAAAGTCATAATTCTACCCACAACTATTAGCATTTAGCATAATTCTTTTCAGTATTGTCCCCATGCTTTGAAAAATTACAGTCGGAATCATATTAGAGATAAAGCTTGTACTATATCTATTATCTCAAAATGCTATTCTAATATAATGACATTAAACAAAATTCGTTTGAGTTATATATATAGCAATTCATATATATCAAATTCTGAGTTCCCTAAAAAGTATTATGCACTTCACAATCAGTGATCTTAATACTTACCTGTCTTGGTATTCAGTTCATTAGTTTGTTTGTTTGTTTGTTTGTTTGCTTTCTGAATTTTTTCTATTAACATATAATGTATTATTTGCCCCAGGGGTACAGGTCTGTGACTCATCAGGCTTACATATTTCACAGCACTCACCACAGCACATACCCTCCCCAATGTCCATCACCCTATCCCTACCCCGCCACCGCCCAGCAACCCTCAGTTTGTTTCGTGAGTCATTATTTTTTGATAGTAGTCTTTTCAGTGTCTGCATACCACACTTATATTTATCTTGAGTATTTTTAGCATTTTCAAGTGCAGAAAAATTAATCTTGGTCTAAAATATCTTGGTTACCTCTTAGTCATGCCTCTCTTACAGTGAATCTGTTTTCTAACAAATATATTAGGGTGTGAAGATAAAATCTGTAAGGATATGATCAGTTTATATGGACATGCAGTTGATGTACTTATTTAAGTATTTAAAACTCTATCCTTGTATCAGTTTAAATCACTATAAAACTCTGTGTGAGGATACTTGAATCAGAAGAGTTGGGCTGGAATCCTAACTTCTTTTCCTCACTCTGTGACCTCAGGTGAACTAATCTTTCTCTGGTTTGTTCCCTACTGGTAAAATTCTGGAAGAGGGAAACTTTCCACTGTGAAGTATCCAAGTCGGGCAAGAAGTGAGCTTCTCCAGCAAGCCCATCTCTGCTCTTTCACATATGCTCTTTCAAAAATAAGATGCCTGGCTCCCTTCCCCAGACATCGGGACCTGAACATCAACTTTTTTTAAAAGCTTCCAGTGACTGACATGTGGCAGACTTTGGGAGCCACTGTCTACCGTTAACTTGGTGAATATCTGCTAGTTCCATGTGCGAATCTATGTCATTTGTTAGTTCAGCTGGTTTGTTCGTGACATTATTTTAAAAGTTAGAAAACCAATTATGTTTTCAACCAGGGGTCAAAAACTGAAATGCCTTCAGGAACCAGGGAGCCAAAGGCAGCAGCAGGGAAGGTAGCAGCTGTCTCAACAGGCAGGGCCAGCTCTGCTCCAGCTTCTGTGGCCAGGCAGAAATCAGCAGTTCTCATTTCAGCAGACGGAAATCTATATTTTCATACAAAAGTTTCCAATTAAAAAATGGGGTGTCCCCCCAAAAAACTGGGGTCCTGTGTTATTTCATAGGCAAGTAAAATGTGTCTGTGGGCCAGATTTGGCTAGGGACTGCCAGTGTGCAACCTCTGTTTTTAAACTTGGTATTCATAGGACTAGAAGTGTATTAATCATGTGTCAATATACATTAACGTTGGCATTTTTTATCGTATTAGGTCTCGGGCCTAGATGGGCTTTTCTCAAGTACATTTTTGTCTTTGATATTAGATAATTCTAGGACCTGAAGACTTCAAGCTTTGCTCTTTCCACTCACTCCTTCACTCATTCCCACTGAGGGGGTACGCTGTCCTCTCCATTTTGATGGTGGATCCCCCGAGTATTTTCAAGGAGCTCAGCCCTGCTGTCATGCTGGGAGTTCTAACCAAGACTAGACTTTCACATACACGATGCCACATCCCAAAAGCTCCCCCAGACATACAGCCAGTATTCTCCAGTGCTATTTCACTTAGCCAAGGTGTGGACTGTGGTTCACCAGTGGCAAGGCAGTGGAGGACAGGTGTGGAAGGAGACCAGAGAGGCCCAAAGCACTCTTGTGTTTCCAGGGAAAAGCAGAATCACTAGATGACTATTTTCCCAACTTTGTTCTATGAATTAAAAGTTACCAGTTATTCACACGTAGAATGCCTGCAGGTGAAACTTCTGTTTGTCTAAGTCACCTAACAAAGGAAAAAAGCTGAAAGACATCATTTATATTGAGTGATAATAATATAATTATGTTAGGATATCAAGATCAAAATACCTGTTTTTGAAGAAATCTCTAAATTTTTTGCTTTTTGTATTATTTTAAGATCATGATGCTGGGGATAGAGTTCTGAACCCTGATGAAGCAGGCATGGTTCCAGAAGAATTTAAGTGGGCATCCAGAACTGAAAGTATGAGATTAAGTGGAAGAGAAAGAGAACTGGACAATTCAACAAGCAGTTTAAGAACACAACCAAATCCTCTGAAACTCTGGGAAGATGGCCCAGAATTGCCTTTGATCTGTAGCTCTCTAGCACCCACTAGTGGACATTTCTTAAACAATGAGGATAAAATAGAAGTAGATGAAAATCATTTCACAAAATCTCATAGCCGACCATCACCCCAAATCCAGCTGGTGGGTAATGTGGGACAGCTTCATGGTGTCACGTCTGTAAAACTGTGTCGTAAAGAGTTACGTCAGATTTCTGCCTTGGAACTATCATTACGACGTTCCACTCTTGGAGCTGGGGTTGGATCTATGACTGCTGATTCCATTGAAGTAGCTAGGAAACCGAGTGACTTAAAAACTTAGGCCTTTAGTAACAGAACTTTTAACTTTCAATAGGAGGTATTAGATTCCTTTGTCTAAACTGTTAGGAATTAAAACTTTTGCTCACTAGCTCTTCCTTCAGGATATAGGAAGAAGGGGAAGAAGTAGGAAGAAGGGGAGGAAGGAATCATCTTGTATACTATAGATGTATATATCTTCTATGGTATGTTTGAGAAGTTTTAATTATTTGCAGACAATTAGCAATAATTGTAATTAGCAAATGAACATGTTTTCTAATGCTGTCAAGTAATGGAAAATTTAAATTTTTTACATATTTAAATATTTATTTATTTGAATTTAATTAACTATTTAAATTTAATTTAAATAATTAAATATTTAAATATATTTCCACTTAAAAATGTACTTAAAATCCAAGCATATATAAAGAAGAAAAAGAGTGGAATAGTAATATTTCTGTATAATATAAAAGCATGTCATAATACATGAATTACACTTTATAAGTTTATAATATTGTTATTCTCAAATGTATTTGTTATTTTGAAGAGTTACAGTTAAATATTGCTTGTATGAGAGGGGGAGTTACATACAGCCTATCTTTTGGCACAGCTGAAAAATCTGTGCTAAAATACAGTCTGTGGGTTTAAGGCAACTTGACTAGGTTGATGGGTTGAAGTTAATTTATGGTCCTCCGAGTCCACAGAGCCTGAGTGATCAGTCTTGACTTTCTAAAGACAGTTCTCTGCTCTTTTTCTGGGATTGTCTTTAGAATGTCATATTGCTATTTTGCTAATATTATGGAATCTAAGTTTTATCTTGCTCCTACCCTGTCTACTCAACATGTCTGTCCCTAGGCTACGAGATTGGGGGAAAGGATGCAGTCCCATGCCACAGGGAAACAGAATAACGGTAAAGCATTTTAGCATTTCCAGGAAAAGTTATTCGGTCACACGAGTGTGCCTGTAAAGCTTGAAGTCTCACCAGAGGCTCTTCAGCTAAGAAGCTGCTGCGCCTCATCGGAGACTTTTCTCTACAGCCTGCTTACTCGGGTCTTGCACACAGGCAGGCCAGACTGCACTGGGGCTGTAAATATGTAAATGAAATTTTTCATCAAGATTTTTTCAGTCTAAATCTTATTATATAATATAAATTTCAGTTTGGAATTAAGAACGAAAATACTGATTTGCCCAACAAGTACTTTGTACCTTTTCATCATACTTTTTAATCACAGAAAACATTATAATGACCAGAGGTATTTTGTTACTTTTTGTTACTTGTGTTGTTATTTTTGTTACTTTTCGAAATTTTCATTTGTAAAATAAAGTTGTTTCTTAAACTAACTACTGTTTGGGTGGGACAGTGGTCAAGCCGCCCTGACTTATGGATGTCTACTCAATTCTTGCTGACTCCAGTGTTTCTAAGGTGATGCTGCTACTGATATTTTTTTGGTCCTTTTCCTTTGTTGTTATTGACCCTGACCATCTTACCAAAGACCCCAACTGTCACTCTGTGCTCACATACTTATGGTTTCCTTTTCTGGTTTCTAGTGCCTAGGGAGTAGGGTTCCTTGTTCTCATTGCTAAAAACCAGTTCCTAGAGAAGAAAACTCAAACAAAACGAACTTCTAAATCAGCGGATAGGTCTGTATCTCTTAAGCATGGTACTGAAATTCATTTAAATTGTGGGTGAGATAGACTGCCATGGACTTCGCTGGGAATTGAACCACATTATACAGCATTGGCCCAGTGAGAAACTGCTTTCGACAGGGAATTATGAACTAATTTGGAAAATACATTTTTATCAGAGACTATTTCAAATCAGATTCTGGTTTTAAGCTAGTCTCTTCTTTTTGCCTCTAGTTTATATGATATATCCTTAATATATATCATGTGTAATGTGTGTGTATACTATATATAGATATGAAAAAGGTCAGTACCTTAACAAAGTATAATGATATATTTATTAATGAAGGTCCTAAGTGTAAATTCTAAATTAAGTAATAATTTAGAATAAGAATATATTCTAACCCTGGAATCTTAGTTTGCCTCAGAAATTGACCCATACTTGTTTTACCTGTGGAAATAGAAACATACTTTCTAAAAGCCAAGGCGCTCGCACTCACAAAGCAAGAAAATGTATATCAAATCAACAGTGATTAGATTTAATAATGCAAATGTGAACTGACTCCTAAATAAGAAAGGTACAATTTTTTTCTTCCTTTGGGTTACACATATATCCATATACTATGATAGATTTCATGTACATACAGTAACACATACATATAAATACAAATAATGTCCTGAATAACAAATACATTCTGGAAGTGAACCTCTCGTCTACTTTAGTGCCCTCACAAAGGAAAGAAAAATTAAGGCACCTTGCCCAAGTCAAATAAAAATTTTTTTTTACTTATACTAGTAATAAATTTTACTCTGCTTCACATGCTTTCCTTAGTCTAATCATTTTGTCATCATGTTTGCTTTTTTGTATGCAAATGAAATATGTCTGTGGATTTTCTTTTTTTTGTGGTTCATTGTGGGTTTTTTTCCCCCACTTACAACAGAGCATTTGGAAGGAAACATATTTGCCTCTGTGAAGTACTAGTTCCTTCCCTAACTTCAGAGTGTTGAAGATAACAGGGTGGGAGAATTATATAAATATGGGAACTATGGGTGGCAAGAGTATCAATGAAGGTGATTTGGGGCTTTAATGTTTGTTTTCTTCTCCTAATGGGTTTTTCTTAGGTCAACAGCATGGTAAGTGCTCATTTAAGAATAGATGTCTTATATGGAAGAGGTTGATAAAGGTCTTACACTAAGTCTAAGGGAGTCAGATGCTGAGTGGGAGTTTGAGTCTATAGTTACCATAAATTCTCATGCACCAAATGCAAGAATGGCATGTTTGGGTCCCAGTTATTTCCTTAGGGACATATCTGTGACTGTTTAAAACACTGGAGTATCTTTCAGTATCTGAAAGTTCAGTATCCACTTGTTCACTGTTCTTCTCTCAACTTCACTGGAATATTAAAGAGTATTAATTATGTATATTTTACATCTAAATTTATAACAGGCCTCAGGTTGCCTTCATTGGTACTAACACATTCGTCTACGTTTATATTTTCGACAGTTGGAAATGAAGGTGGAAAGGAGATCCTTCCACAATAACCATCTCAAGTGCATTGGTTTTGTGATATTTCTGAGCTTGTATGGCAAAAGTGTTTGCAGAGTAGTAGGAACATCTTCCCAAGGGGAAGGAATATTTTGTTACTGTCATTGTTTACCTTGATGCTGACAATAAAAAGCAAACTGACTTTTGATAAGTTTTGGTGTTTTAAGTCTTCCACAACAATGCACCACTTTACCTCCTACAGCAGGAGTGACTGCTTCCATTCCTTGCTCTTAAATTGTGGGGCATACACAGGACCAAATACGAGAATGGTGTTTAATTTTTATAACGATTCCAACAATACCCCAACATGGAGGTAATTAGAATGAGAAAAATTATGAAAAGAAAGCTCAGAAAAACTTGACTTTTGATATTTTTCATACTTCTTTGTCTCTTTAAATATTTTTTCCCTAGGAATTTCCACAGTGAATCAAGAGGATAGCCAATATGTGAAATGAAACAATATGATTGAACCTAAATGTATTGACTTAAGTCTTAGGTTCTACAGGTAAATTATTACACACACTTCTACTGAATTATCTCTACATTACTTCAAAAGAAAAATACAACAATCTCATAGACTTACAATGAGCAAGATCCTTAGATGACCAAGGAACAGATCATTCACACAGAAGAGTAGAAAACTATTTTTTAAAAATTCATACTTACGGTTGCTGGAAATTTAAAATTCCATTTTTTAGTTAATACTTGTGTAATTAAAGTAACACCAAAGAAATATATTTTAAAAACAACTATATACTGTATTGTGTTTTCAAGTTTACTACAGTATATACAAAAAGAGGTATAATTTTTCAAGTCCGAATTGGTAAATGCTGTTAGAATTTAATTGATCTGACAGGTCTTTTAAAAGAATGACTTCTTGGACCCTACCCACTCCTCCCCAATTACCAACAAGAAATTACATGACAATTATGGCTTACTTACCCTCTCATTCCCCACAAAGTTCCAGGATTCAAATAGCTCTGATAAGAACAGGAGATAAAAAGGGTTATTTTAAAGCATTCTATAAACCAGCCAAGAATTTTCAAAAATACTTTGAGGGAATATATTTTATTTCTCTGGCAACAACACTAAAACTTAACTTCAATCTTTGGCTATCTCTAAACCTGGAAGAACACTCCTAGTTACTCCTGAATTTGCCATTTGAAAATACACATCCCAGTTTTTATACCGGTCCTTTTTCTAGGATTGCTAAATTCACAATTCTATGAAAAGAAGCCACCCTAGATAGAATGGAAATTGAGGAGCTATTCAATAGAGATTTACAAGAAACAGTAGTTTTGGATAGATTCCAACAACCAAGACATAAACCAAAGAAAATAAAACTTAAGCGATTTTGCCATTGAAGAGCCATGAATAGTCCGCCCAAACAAACACCATAGGCAAAATTGCCAGGATTTATCTTTATATAATACATTACCATTTTGCTTAATTTTTCTCTCTGCTAAAATACCCCCCCCCAATTTTTCTACTGAAAAACCCCTGGATGAAAGACTTCCATTCATGATTACAAACCAGCAGCGACTAGCCTGCCTGAGAGACTGAACTGATGTTATTCATTTTTGTGTGTGGCCTGCAGTGCCATTTCACTGTCCACCATAAAAAGGAGTGAGGAGTTAATCTGAATTTGGCTGATTCATGTAATAATGTGTAAGTATTAAAATGGTCAACATTTTGTTTTCACTTTCTAGCATGATTTCTTTTTTTTTCCTAGATGGGAAGAACAGGAACAGGGCAACATATTTGTGTAACAAGAGGCCAATCTCCTTTTGAAATGCCCATCACCTAGGGTGTGGGCAGCATCTGAATTGTTCCAGGTGAAGCCTGGAATGGAACTAAGCCGATCTGTTTCACTGGAAATTTTCCCAGCTGGCACCAGGTGTCACCAGTTGTAAAACATGATCACAACATGACCAGAATGACCCAGGTTATAATCTTAATGCGAGTACATTAAATAATGCTATTTTTCTGAAACACCAGCCTTTCCTTTAAAAAAAAAAAAAGCAATTTATGAATCATTCCCTTGCATTTTATATGATTTTTTTTTTAATTTAGGGGAACGGGGAGAGACAGAGGAAGAGAGAGAATCTTTTTTTTTTTTTTTTAAGATTTT